TTGTACAACCAAATATGAACAATGGGAACAGAAACCTCTGATAACTGTTAGATATAGGGCGTTGTAATCCTTTCCAGAGAGAACGCCGTCGGGACTTGATCTGTGTGCCCCTTACATCGTCTATGAATGTGAACCTTGCTCCTGTTGTATGTCCCTTACGTACTGTATGTCTAACTTTGGCTACGAGCGAGAACCGTACCGTATGCCTCCTTCTTTGTTGTATTCTATCTACGTCGTTTACTAAGGGAGAAACTTAATATGACAATGTTAGATGATCGATATACATTTTGCATTTCAGTCGTTTATTTAAAATTAAAATAATAATAACTTCATTTTAATAATATGGATATGGTAACATCCATATTGATTCAACATTTTAACATTTAACTAGTGGAGCGGCAAAGATCTTATATGGTTTTACTTTATGATAACAATATATATTTTAGGTTTATGGAGTTAAATAGATCATTAGGAGTCCGGACGCTAGTTGAGAGCAGTGGAAGACGGTTCTGTTATGGTATCTGTACATGTTTAAAATGTTAATTTACATAATGGGAGGTAGTATTTTCAGCACACCAAACAAAGCGTGTATAGCATCAATAACGCAAACTAAGAGATATTTTAGTATATATACTGTGTTTTCTGTATTACGGTATGTTAGCTGTTTATCAACTAGGTTATCGGGTAACCCGGGGCAAGTACGTTTGACATCCTGGCAAGTCAAGTGTAAAATCTCATATGTTTTCCAACAGTTTGAGGTACACTGTATTGGTCGCTTATGAATGTTACAAGGTATAACCCCTTACGGTCAATTCCCATCTGTTAAATTGTCATTCATGTTTTGCAATATCTGATTATATGTTAATGTTCGGTTACACAATCATAGTTCACATTGTAAAGGTTTACAATCAAAGTTTTACATTTGGAAGTAAAAGACGTTGGACAGTACTGTATAAGAAGTGTGCACTTAGGAGTCCCAGGAAAATAGTATAAATCTATGTATGGTATTTAATCCAACAAAATTGTTGGTGGTTCCAATAGAATACTTCCTTTGTAATATCTGTACGTAAAATGTCTCGTCATGGATTGTTTTCCTCAGATGTCAAGGTTCAGAAGTAATAAACCTCCCGAATCGAGAGCTTTTATATTATACTACTTGATGGGAATTATGTAATATTCTATCCACAGTATCTGGTACCTGGTGATAATAGCATTACTCCTCATTCTGTACGAGACTAAATTGTCTGGTTCAAGTGCGATTAAGTCCAGCGTTAGGAAATGTCCCACACACAGGTTAATATTTACATATCAGGTTCACTGGGGCGTGTCTCATACAGCCCTGGGGTCACAACGCAGCGGGCAGAGCATCTTAAATACCTACTACGGTTAAGTACTTTATACTAGATGCTATTTGAGATTTCGGCAATAAAGGGAAATATTTCTGTCCAGATTGTCTCTCTGAAAAAAATAACAGGTATGGCAGGGTGCAAGTGATAATAAATAGGTTGACATGTGCTTACCAAAGTAAACTAGGTAAAACAAAAGGCAGGTATTACAGGTAACACGTACAAAACACATGTAACACCTGGAATATATAGCACATTCATGTTATTAATGTTTCAACATATATATTTATATCTTTGAAAAGGTTTTGTTTCCCTCAATATGTGTTTTGGTATGAAAAAGACATTCTCCATACTAGAACCTATTCTCATCAGATAATATGAACAGGTGTTATAGAATGTAAATGAATGTTCGGTACACTACATTACAGTATACAATAACAGGTGGGTAGGAAGATGTAAACTGTGTGTATTCTGTAGTACAGTATACAATAACAGGTGGGTCGGAAGGTGTAAACTGTGTGTATTCTGTAGTACAGTATACAATAACGGGTGGGTAGGAAGGTGCAAACTGTGTGTATTCTGTAGAACAGTATACAATAACGGGTGGGTAGGAAGGTGTAAACTGTGTGTATTCTGTAGTACAGTATACGATACATTGATAGGTTAATAGGGATGTGTAGAAGTACTTGGTAACCTGATCGCCTTGTACAATTTAAAAATAAACAAAAACATAGCATTGTAGTAGCAGGAGCTCTAAAAGAAAATACATCTATGACCTTTAAAAAACCTCAATGAATTGGTTGTACGCGTCCGGAAGTCATTATATCGACATTTTAAGTCTATGAAGCATTGCTATTGTAAACACTGTTGACAAACAAGAAATAGACAATGGTTAGGTGTAACACAATACTTATCTATGACAGGAATATTAGGACAGAGAAAATAAAACAAAGATACGGTGCATGAATCAGATGCTACTTTGTGTTAGCCTTGTGTGTATGTCCTGGTGGGATGGTATCTGGTATCAGGACATACACACAAGATATATGCTAAATATTAACCTTAAATTTACGTTGTTTTCAAAAAGGGTGTCTTCCTTTTTAGTGCGTCCCTTTCGTCAGAATGAATAAATGACCTATATTGTACACACATATACATGGCTATTATTGGGAGTGCTTCGAATGCATAATTAACAGGGAATGCTAGTCTAGACGACACATCAATGTCCCATGAATTAAATATGTCAACACACGTGTTGTTTGTGCGTTTAAGTAGACAGCTACCAAAGACTTAACTAATCAGTTGTTACAATCAGGTCTACGTGTTTATTAGTGATACAGTTTGAAGGTCGATATCATATACACACACGTCCCATGTTAGATGAGTTCACATTACATAAGTGTCAAATACAAAAGCACTGGAGCGATAGAGCGTGAAGCATGTTCACTTATAGTAACAAGGCTTTAACATCTGGCTATACCAGTAAGCGATCAACACTAGCGTTTACGCATTAATATCTTTAATTGACAAGGCTTCAGCAGTCGCTAATAGTGCCGAAAATAAGATTGAATAGAATACTGCAATTTAAGAAAATAAATTCGAAGACAATTACCATTATGAGAGACACAAATTACCTACCACTATTATAGTCATGGTCAAGTACACATTATTATAGTAAGTTTAGTATAGGGACAACACCATGACCGAGGCCACCTGGCCAGTGACCGCCCCATTGTATAGAGTAGACAATACACTTAGGTCGGAAAGAACTGGTTTTATAAACGTTTAGCCATAAAGAATGGCGTACATCAGGGAGCTTTTCTGACCTACCTGTCAACAAACTATTTACGTTTCATTGCTCTCACTTAGTATATAACAGGTCATGCTATTCTACTTGTCAATCAAACGTGGATGTTTGCGCATGATGTAATATAGACTCTGTATTACTCCTCAGACAGGAATACTCTACAGGTTTAAAGTACGATAAATATATATTCACATTTTATAATTTATATTAGAATAAAACAACAACGAAAATCCCCACCCGAACCCCTAAATGGGCGTTGTGACTTGTTTCTGTTTAAATACAGTTGTTTACTATCGATAAATCACTCGCCCCAGGCTCTGTGATTTAACTACTAGTCGGTCATCTCGACTGGAACTTTAATGTCAGATAAAGATACCTTTCTTTAATCCTTTATTACACTTACAGAACCTTCAGTACAAACATAATTATAAACGGTTTGTATGTGGCTGATCCATTCACCGTTTACATTTGTATACGTCAATGGCAGTGTACACCAACCATCACGGTCGGAAACATTAAACAACCGGTCAGTGTGACTGGTCACTATAACTATTATTTCATTTAAGACAAAGACTAAAAGGGTTAATGGCGACAATTTGCGATACACAGAACTGTATTAATAATGAGCTTTAGTCCTCCTTTAAAGAAAAGGTAGCTAACAATAGCTAAATATGAAAACAACAAATAAGTTATATGTCATTACTTGTTTGATTAATGTAATTTCTGGCATGTACTTCTATAAATAATAGAATTGACTTTAGATGGAACAATAATCGTCAACTTATCATTGGCTTATTATGTTGGTCCTATTATCATTTCGACCAATCAGAAAATATCAAAACGGTACGCTATGTTGATGGGTGGGTGTGTTCTGTGATGACATGATGTTCACGAAACGTAATTTTCTTAATCTATTGACTTCAGTGAACGATGAAAGCTAACGAAATAACAGAAGCAAGTAGGCAGACTTGAAACAATAAAAATGAGAGTTTGAAGAAAACAACTTTCAACTAGTGTCTTAAAGAGGCAACAATTAAATTGTGTTTCGTAAAAGGATTTATTTTCGTAATTTCTATTAAAAGGCTTCTGTATAATGTGAGGATGTTTAAGATATTCCAATAAAACACATTACACTGAAGACTTTCAGGATCCAGGAGTTCTTACGAAATGCAATCGTAATAAAACAAAGTATTTTATAAAGCAACTAAAAACTAAATTTGGTTAGTTTCTAAAATCGATTGCTATCATTTTCATTCTTATTGAGGCAAATAGAGGCAAAATAATTATTCCTGCAACAATATATTGAATTTGAATCAACCCAGCAATGGATTTAAATCTTTACAGTTTAAAGTTTAAAATTAAATGGCGATAGTCTCAGTTTTCTGGCGTTTGTGTCATTTATTTCATGTACATGTATAAACAGTGAAAAAGGGTATTTGATTTTAAAAGAAATTTCCAATAACTAAGTGATTTATTTTTTATACGCCCGTCAAAAGCATCAGTGCAAGCATTTTTATCCCATAGACATGACACTGGCTACCAGGTGCTTTAAATATCAAACAAACAGAAAGTGGATAGGGTCAGATGGGCGTATTATGAATTCGTTTGCGGTGCCCTTGTCCTTGATTGTTTTGAAATGGTTGTCTTTATGTTATCAAAGTGCTGGACGATAAATCCCGAAAACCATTATCCCGAAATGAGTTATGCCGTAAGACATATGAAAAACTACATTGTATAAGTTTAATTTAAAAATATATTAAAGTAACTATTTCTTAAATACAGTAGAAGTAAACACACATTCTCATTTCATCTCATTTGATAGAATCGTTAATTTTGTTATTTTCTAGACTTGACGAGGCTAGGAAATACCGTAGTATTGACCGTGAACAGATACAGAAACTCAACCAACAGTTATCGGACTACGAGGGCGAGATCAACATGCTAAGACGTACCATAGAATCTCTGGAGACAGACAGGCAGAGAGACAGGGACCGTTTCAGCAAGATACAGACAGATATGGACAGAATGAGGATGGTAAGTACCTATTTAATGAATTCTACGTCAATGCCAAATTATGACAATATACTGATGACACGAAAAACTTTGTTACATAATCTGAGGTTTAATGCGTTGCTCTTAAAATATCGGTATCACAATGGCTTCAATTTAGAAATGCGTAAATTCTCATTCTCACACATTTCATTGTTATGCATGGATTATATTAGCAATAAACCTTTTGTGTGAAGTTGATTAAATGTTGAGAAATACTTAAACAATATTGACAATCGAATTTTTAGAGACAGTTTCTTTTAATGCGATACCTATCCTAAAAAACTGCTTAATGTTTTGTAAAAGTAGAAACACCTCAGATTTAATAGCATCGCTAAACGTTTGAATAAAACATTTTTGAAGTTTTGAATTCTTAAAACGTACTAGGATCACGCCAATATTTTCAAAACCTTTGCACTTTAAATATTGTATGCGTAATTTTTATGAACGAGCTAGTTTATTCTAAATATAACGGATTATTTGAAATAAAAATGAAAAAGATACAAACGTATTCGGAAAAACGCTCCGTTCTAATTACGATGCAATATTCGTGTCGCATTATGAAGAGTGACCTTCTGTTTAGTGCGCGAAGACGCATAACAATCCGCAGCGCAGTACATCTCAAATTTGGGGTTGCATTGACAGGCATGAAAATTACATGCTCTTCACCAACGTAAAGGTTTAATGAATGTTTGTACCTGTACACATCTGAAGCGCTTCCTTTCGGAAAATTAATTGCAACAAGGTTACTGCGCGCTTGTTTATGTTAAACGAAATTTAATCGTTCAACCCATACACACTTTATGCAAGTATTGTGATATGCAAAAACTGCAAACCAAACTGTACCATCCCTTGCCAGACATCTCATTTGTGGTAAATAAAACAAAATAAAATCATCCCATAAACAGCAAGTTCTTCTCTGATAGCTGTATATGCTAGTTGTTTTAAACAATATACATTTTGTTCTAGTATTCTACTTTGTTTGCGTATGCAGATCGTGAGCCTAATACACACCACGATCAAAAACACGTATGCCCCTTTAAAGTACACGGATGTTGATAAAATGTTGCTAGTCATGCAATCCGTAGCATTTCAATGTAGTCGTGCATGCTCGGCGTAGGTTGCTATGCAGTCGAGCTTGTTAGTTGTGCGTTCTGTCCTGTCGTTGTACTTCGTGTTGTTGCGTTCGATTACATACACCAACCACACGGTATTGTACTAGGAAAGTTGCCAGAACGCACCCAACAATTGATGCATTGCGACAAAGGCCCAAAACCTGCTTTACCAATTTCAATACATGTGAAGTCTGCAGTCTACTTTCACTTTTTAGGTATGATAATTGGATCTGGCGGTTTTCGTGATGCGCGAATTATATTGTGATAGGAATCGTGTGATAAATGTGAACATCGACCCGTTCTTACATCATGATTTTTTGAAAGAACAATATCAACATATGTTATCGCCGAAGGTTAGAACATCCACTTGTGTTTGTATGTCTTACTGGCTGCCAAAATGTACCAGTCTTGAGCATTTTAAATTGGCTCTGACTTTTATATGCCTGTCTACACCAAAAATTGATCTTAGATTTTAGGAACTTTTTCTATTGTCTGCAATCCATCAGTTAGCATAAGACTGCTATGGGGGTCTACATGATTCCATCTGAAAACCAAAAAGAATCAACTTTCCTCGTCGTCCAGAAAAGAGATCATTTCGTTTTACGTGACTGTTTAATGTTCTCTGAATTACCGTATCTTCAATGTTCATGTATATGTTAACACCAGCAATCGTCTAACATTCCAATAGATAGAAGTAAACAAGACGCCGTGACAATGTGCAGTCTATGTACCATTGATGAGTATTGCATTCATGAAATTTCGACCCTTAACATTATATGGTTTTATTGCATCAGAGTTCACGCCTACCTGTCACATATATTTTATCGATCGTTGATTAATTTGATTTTTCCAATCAAACAACTCTCTTTTAAACCCCATCTTGACCCTTTAAACTTGGATCCCATTCAAAAACATCCTCGTAGATAGCATTGAGATTGATGTCTCTCTGTTGCAACTTCACCACACTGCGTTTTCTGTAGCAGTCATTGATTTTCCGTACACCTGTACAACCCTTTACTTTATATCGTTGCTAAATAATTTAACGCAATGGTATAACGAATAGCTTCAGAAGCTACATAAGTAGCAATGCAATAATCAGAAACAGACAAAATGGTTTTTATTGCCAGCTATTCATTAAAATGATTAGATTGGTGTCTATGATATTAACATGTTCACCGTAACAGTATGTACTGGTAGTGGTTCTATTCCTGTAGAACTTGGTCAGTCATTACGATAATGTTAGTACTAATTTTCGTCCTCCGTGACCAAAGTCAAAAGGGCTTTAAACACTACAATACCAAGAAACCCCACATTAACAATAGCAATACGCAAGTGAACTGGTAACAAGCACCTTTTCATTCAATACAGACAGGTACTAGTAATTAGAACAGTTCTCATTAAATCAAATCATGTCATCACTTCACTAAATGTGGATTCTAAGAAGACGTTTACCATAGAATTTTACAAACCAAACGCATTTCGATTAATGGTAAGTCGGTTTGATATCAATCATAAATCTAGTAAACTGTAAGTAAGACTTTAACGCTAACTTCGTTGCATTCCAGTCGTTATTGCACAGTCGGCATCAAACTAAATACATATATCAACATTTGCTGTGGCTTTGTCGATCGATTAAGCATTTTTGGGGTTAATGATGTTAGCTGGAAATCCTTAGTCCTAGCAGTGGGTGTCGATACAAGTTTATTATCAGTCGCCGAAAGGAAAGCTGAAACGTCCCCTGGCCATGTTTTATACACACTCGGTTCTCGCCTTTGTGGCATGTCCGTCCGCACGTAACGTACTACTCTATCACTCGTCGTTATCACCTCAGATCAACGAAGAGTAATGTGTTCATATATCACTCGGTCCCTTCTAGTCGATCACAACAACCGGCAAAACACAAGCCGAACCTATTATCTGCGGAAATCCTTCATGATTTATTATTGGGTTACGTCTGCAGTTCTCGATTACTTGTTGTCAGAGTCACGTTAGCTTGTTGACATCGCCCGAAACTGTTCTTTTCCTTATATATATATTTCATGTTACTCCGTCAGATATTGACGATATATTTATTTAAATATTTTGAAAATGTAAATAATAAAAAGTTTGCATTACTAGGATCCTCAATAAAAGACATGTAATGAAATGCCATATTTCCTCAAAATACTCTTATTATTAAACGTTTATAAGATACTTTTCAATTCTTTTATGTAATTGGGAGAAACAATCTAATCTTGTCGTGTTAATTTCCCTGGCTTCTGTGCTCGGTACTAATCGCAAGTTAACAATACCAAAACAAGTCCGACAGAACTGATAAACTGCTGGCAGGTCCGGGTAACGTTCCTGATTAACGGAAGTATTCAGACTAACAAATGATCTAGAAGGAAAGCCATGCGTTGAGCTGTTATAGCAATAGGATTTGGTTTCGTAATATACTACAATGCTAATGTTTTGCACAACTCATTTATTATTACGGTAATTGGTTTCTATTTTTCATTATGTAGTCAACTCATTGCGATTAGGTTTCTGGTAGATTTATTGACAATGCTGCCAACAAGGAAAAGTAGTATAAATCAAACATAACAAAGAAATACACTGTGTTCACGTAGTCACCACTTCAAAGAATGATAATGATATTGTAAACTTCTGTAATCAATCAAAACTTCAAGCCATGCATTACTGGTGAAAATATTGCTGTGAAAGTTCCCTATTCCGTTTCTACGATAACCTACATTCTGTTACTACAACATCACCCTCTACGGTTGATCCGAGAAATATGCCTAAGGTTTCTGTAGGATTTCTTGCAAAGTCCTCTATACAAGCATTCTGCATTTTGTCGTTTAACCGTATTGCGATCTCTCTCACACATTTAGTTTCAACATGTCCGGATAATTGTGTATTTTCACGTGTTCTTCTTAAATGAAATAGTATTCGTTAATTGCTGCTGAAATTCCGATTTTCAGAGTTGTATTTTTTATTCTTAAATCCTTAAAACGTACAACCATATACCTTTACTGTCTATTTTCTGCACGTCATAAGATCGTTTCGATAACTTTCACACAAGCACACAGGAAGTGAGTTTGAAAATAATTCTGTATAGGATGTGCCGTTTTCTGGCAAATCGTCTCCACATATTGGCTCTTTCGTTATTATCATTATTATTATTATTCTCTTTATTTCCTCCTTTAAGAAGATTTTACAAACAGAATAATGTAGTTACAATAATAAATTAGATGATAAATGCAAAATCAAATAGATGTTAAGGTAAAATTAGTGCACAACATAATAAGTTAACACAATAGGAATAGGTCAATTTGAGTACAGTTTTCAAAAGAATACATAATTAATAATGTTAAGAATGATATAAACTAAGGTATTGAATATTCATTCGAAGTATGCATTAAGCATTTTTGAAATATGATTATGATTCAACGCTAAAGCAAATGTGTAATGTTTTCTAGAATACGTGTCCCTTGCCATCTTAGGAAAGCTCAGTTACATCGCTTAATATACAATGATACATACCTTACTTCGTATGAAATATCGCTTGCGAAAGCATCGACAAGTCATTTAAAGAACATTAAGAAAAAATAATTTCTGATTAGTTAACATTAATACGATTAAAATATACCTCATATGTGTATCATGCAATCTTTCTGTCAAACGGAAAAACCGCATTTATGAAACAGGAATAAAATATTTTTAAATATGTGTTTCACCTTTAACTACTAAATGAGCCTATAGTTGCCGAAATATATTTTTCTCTCCAAACTACAACTACGACGCTATATCGACTTTGTGGTCAATAATGCTTGGACGCATTTGGTTCGCTGCTCAGACAATTTCTTCACATCACGTCTGTTAGTCAGAAGCAGTTGATCGATACTCGTGCCGGCACAAATTGTGCTGACGCAGCTGGTTTTTTCCCTGCAGCTTCCGTAGCCAAGCCGTATATATCCTAAAGTCACCTTCACTTACTAAACTATACACGTGCAATAGATACCTATTATGTTAATAACATTTTTGTAAAAAAAACATTCCAAACATGCTTTTCGATACAGACCTCTTCATACGGTTAAACGAGAGTATTTCTTTCTCGTCCCATGCGTTTCAAGCGTAATCGACAAGATTGAATTAAATTTCCTGCCGAGTTTAAATTATAAACATGTTTTACTTTGCCAGCTGACACAGTTCAGTTCCATTGTTATATTCTATGATAATTGTATCATGCTTAATAGTTTTACCTTAAATCGGTTTCATTTTATATAGATACTAGTCCAGGCTGTTTTCATTATTTTAAAATGTTAGAGATAAAGGAGAGTAAAAAAAGCGGTATTCGTGTATCTACACTGTATCTTATATTTATTTACCAATGTATTGTTGCCCCCCGCCACAGACAACACAAGCAAATACTTTTGCAAGACAAAAAAACAAAAATAAAATAAGACAGGTTATCAACTGTACGAAGATATAGCAAATATGATAATGTTTTCCCACTTAATAAATTATGCATGCTAGGAATAACAAGTATGTGCTTTGACAACATATTTAACTCGTATATCTGTTGGTGTTTTTCAACAGTAGCCGCAGGTTAAGGAATACTTCATCTTTACATCTATCTATAAACGTTAGTTCCTATAAAAGAGATGCCATAAAATTGGGAAAATAGCCGTGATGATACACGTGTCTACTATAAGTTACCTGATTACAATATTATTTATATTATGTATCATAAAGGTATATTGCATGAATAGGGTGTCATAATTACGCTGTAAACGCAATGGTGCATACACATTATTTATTCATCAGAATATATTTAAAGTGTATCGCAAAAGTCTTGTGAAATTTAAACGTCCTATTGCTTTAACATTTTAGTGTCTCCTTCCATAGTGTATTTCATACTGTTCGCCAGAAAACAAAACAACTCATAGAAACTGTATTCTAGGCTTAAAAATTACACTGAGTTGTTCATACAGTTTCTGCATCAGACCTTCACCTAAATGTACATCTTATGTATCCTTCATTACATATATGTATATTAATTTTTAAGCATAACATAATCTTTATATATCTAAAGAGTGACACAAAATTTAAGCAATACATATATTTCTTTCTAACAGGATTTGAACAATGAAACGCTGAATCATCTAGATGCCGAGAACCGTCGCCAGACCCTGGAAGAAGAAATGGTATTCCTTAAGAACCTCCACGAACAGGTACGTAATTTTGATCACTATTGAGTAATTACTACATATAATGATGTGTTGATGTTACACATACATATTATGTATTCTGAATGTTGTTATTGATGCTAACATAATATGTATAAATTATATTGAAGAGTCCTGAATACCTTCTTGGAATATATATTAGAATACTCTGCTATAACTTCCAAGGAGGGTAGTTGAATAGTTTGATTTGAATGTTCAAACTTTATAACAGTTATAGTTGTTTTCTAAATCAACGTTTTGCTGGACTTAAACACTAACATAAAAACGTTCAACAAGATGAGTTGCAGTCCAAGTGAAAATCGAGTTTTTTGTCTAGGCTAAATAGGTCATTGATCATCCATATATAGGTGTCAATAAACTTGGCATTTACATAGCTAAAATGGTTATATTCCCAAGACAGCACACCACACTGTCGCCATCATTCCTTTGTTTAAAATTGCAATTTTACTTAAGCACGTACTCTTTGAATTGTCAAGTATGTGCCCTCAGAATAAATGATACAGCATGCAGAATTCTCATCAATACTAGACCAAATGCGAAGCGAGTCATTAGTGATGTTTTTAAGAATAGGAGTTGTTCCACTCACTTCCGCAAATATTGTCCATTTATAAATGCCCTTTCCTTTGTATGATCGCCCCTACGCAAAGAAAACCGTGATGGTTTCGTGTGACATTGAAAGAATAAAAACACAACTACGAATTAAAGCCAACACGTAATATAAAACGTATCTAACCGTATTTAGGTTATTATGATACAAACGTGGTTGGACAAATATTTCTAAGCATTGCAAATGGAATGGATAATACTATTCAATTAGTAACATTGCCCGTCCATTAACGTTGATCAGTAAGGTAATACAATGATAGAAGGATAAATACCCAACATAATTGATTTGTTGTGACATATATCTCACTTGATCAATTCTGCTTATAAAACAACTTGTCTATCAAAGACATTGTTTTAGAGCAAAGGTGGAGAACAATTCAATAGAGAATATGGAAATGTGTACTTGTCGCATCTTAAAAACCAAATCAAAATTGTTAAATGAAACTATTTCGATAATACAAAAGTTCTTAAAATGTTTTAGCAAATATAAACTGAAGGGAAATAACGAGTTTCTTTCAGTTCCCTTAAAAGACTTATTAATAAGATATTGATACTTTCAACTTTCCAAATATCGTTTACAAAGTATTTTGATCAGGTATGATCTTGAATAAATCTGTTCATATTGCCCATCCGCGTTCGATTTAAACATTTTCATTGACTGTAAAATAACAAATGTAATAGATAAACGAGTGCAATTTGTTCGATAGTTCTACTGGTGAAGCAATAAAAAATTGCAAATATCTAGCGGGGCTTGTAGTAGTAATCGGATTATCTATTGATGGCGTTGTCCTGACGACCAGACCATGCCTCTTAAGATCTGGTTGTAACTAGACTGGGGCCAAGTTCGCGCGGATGGGTCATGATTAGGGTATCCCTTGGGGACATATGCACGTAACACCAGTTCTATGACGACCCTACATTGTATCTTTTTATGGTGGAAATAAAATAGTTTACGTGAACCAATGAGATACGGTGCCAACAAAGGAGAGTTGCAGCAACCCATTTTATTATTCGGAGTCACAATTGTTGTATCCACTAATGTGTTTTTCTGGTTGTTGCAAGCATAATATTTAACTTGTAGATAGCCGGAACACATGATACGGCAGGAATGTATCAATAATAAAACGTAGGTGTGTGATCATTAGCAACGCACTTTGTAGTGGAATAATTTGACTTCTTATAAATATGCAATGAATAGTGCCAGTTAAGCTACTGTGTCTAATGCACGTTGTTCAGCCGCTGTTTATCACGAACATACATGAAAAGTTTTCAGGCCGCATCCTCTACCTACGCTTTATAAGAGATGTTTCAATAAAACATCAAAAGTATATATGAAACTTCAGCATATATGTATATATATATATAAGGCTATAATACGTATTAATTCATTTTAATTCATGGTAAATGTCCTTACCTTGCGCTTTCAATGAAAAGTAACCTGGGTCCATGAAATTATCTGACATTTTTTATTGCGTTCGCGATCAATCCTATCCTTATAAAATGTATGTAAATATCGCGAATAGGCGGGAAATAAACATATAGCTCATTGAGTCATCAAAACAGTAACGCTCACACTCATGTTTCTTAATACAGATATTATATTCATTAACTCTAACTTTAATCTTTTATCCTATTACACTTGCAAATTCAAACCTTTTTTAAAATCATTCCCTGCCAACCTTTTCAGCATCGCCATATAGTGTACTCCGCGCAATGATACTTTAGCTTGTCAGTGTACCATTTAATTTTTCTTAGAGATAAGTATCCGTAGTGTAGACATGAAATTCGTAATTCAACATTTGAAGAAAAAAAACCTAAAGAAGTCATATGAACTTGTTTATAAAATTGTTGGAAGTCTCATCTACTATAGTGTGCAGCACGTCTCTGCCTCATTTGGTTCATATGACCGTTTAAACAATATGACGTTTAGCAGTGTATTGGAGTTTTCAATTCAAGTATAGAAATTAGAAAAGTGGGTACTACCGTATTATGAGCGACTTGTGTACCACCTAGAATCAATAAGAACAAGTGTTTCTGCTTCCATTTCACAGGAACTTAAGGAACTTACCGCTCTTGCCTACCGTGACACAACCGAAGAGAACCGCGAGTTCTGGAAGAACGAGTTGTCCTCGGCCATCCGGGATATCCAGAGAGAATATGACTCGAAATCGGACCAGATCCGTGGTGACATGGAAGCCTACTACAACCTTAAGGTAAACATGCACGTTACAGCTGAAGAGGTCCCATTTATGTACATGTATATTTGTTATAAAGCATGGACTCATGTTTGAGCAAAGTAAAACCACTTATTGTTGATTTTCTGATTCATTAGCTATCAACCAACACAGTTCCCTGCTGAAGAAGTTATCACATCTTTTACATCTTGTCAGAGTACAGGTTGACATCATAATAATTAACTAATAAAATAACGAAAATTTGTGTATTGTATATCATCGGTGCATAGCAATCCATAACATTTATTTTGTGGAGAACAGAACATATAATTTGTTTTTCTATGAGTTACGACATCTGTTCCTTTCAGGTCCAGGAATTCCGTACAGGGGCCACCAAACAGAATATGGAAGTCACACATGTTCGCGAAGAAAACAAGAAGCTTACGAAACAAATGACAGATCTTAGAGGAAGACTCGCTGATCTTGAGGCCAGGGTATGTATACATATTTGTTATCCTGTTCCTGAAAATTTAGTCCAAACAAACGTTTCGTAATGTTCAAAAGAAGACTGTCGTTTCATCTTTTTAATAATATAACTTTCATACATTAATTAAGTTAATTGAGTCGTTGATATTCAACTTATAAGAATTTTGGTTTCTTTCCATCTGCTTGGCGAACAAATAATGTATATATTTTCCATTTCAATCCCAAAGAACGCACAACTTGAGAAACAATACCAAGAAATGCTCCGAGAGTACGAGCAGATGGAGACTGATCACACCCTAGAGACCGCCACTCTGAGGGAGGAGATTACCAAGATGAGGTCCGAAATGGAAAGCATTCTCCAGGAGCTCCAGACCCTCATGGACGCTAAACTATCTCTTGAACTTGAGATCCTTGCCTACAGGAAACTTTTGGAAGGAGAAGAAACAAGGTAATTCATTTGAAGCACTGCACTTATAATAACAAGTTCACATTTTCTCTATCGTAAAAAATATTAATGAACACATAATCGTAACGAAAATGGCTTTGATTAGATCACCATGTAATAAATTGCACATGTAATAGTATTGATCGAGAAAATGTGAACAAGGACATAAAATATTCACCATTTTTGCAATTATATGAGCAAATTGAATGAATTTTCAAATTCTCTCTCTAGTGGCAACCGGAATAAAAAAAAACACAAATATCTGTTTTTAATCAAAGCATTATGGAACTGTTCAAAATTAAAGAAACAGTTGTGCAAAAATTAAAGTTCAATGAAACGTTTTAAATTTTGGTGGATTTTGATTGCCAAAAAGACCAAACAACTAAAATCGAGCAGACGATGCCGAATACTTAACTGATTTCACATGTGAAAAGTTCATCGTGTGTTCTTTCGGAAAAGAAAGTCTATACAATGTAATAAGATTTAGATACATTTTTTAACTGATGATCCTAAAACATTATAACATTTCATTTAAGTATAATAACTGTGTATTATCCTTGTCACGTATTGGAAAAAATCAATACGATTGCTATTTACCAAAACATTAAATCTTATGGTTTTCCTTTAAGAAATTACCTATAAAGATGGTAATGACCCTTGTGGGCGACAAAATAAATCAAAATGACCTTGGTCTTCGTTACTTTCGTCTTTTCCATGAGATTCTTATATGTATATATGAATAGACATATTATATCCATATACTGATGTGATACTTACTATAAATGAAAATTGCATTACCCTATTTGTAATGACTAACAAGTAAATGCATTAATATTCTCAATTACATTGAACTGTATGATCCATAACTCAGATATGTACTCTTTATTTTCTTCTTTCGCAATCTAAACGCTGGAAATAATTCCGTTCAATGATGTTGCTTCCTCAACTTTGTAAATTACACAACACAGGGCGGACAGATTTCGTAACCTTGTAGGGATGACTCAGTCTCGAGTTTCAAGTCCATGGAGAAGATGTGACACAACCAGCAGTTATAGCAAATCTGATGTAGATGCTGAAGACAGAACATCTATTGACGATGAAAAGACAGAAAGGGACATAACCCCGGAAGATGAATTAAAATCTATTATAGACGTTAAAGGAGGCACAATGCCAACAGTGGATTCGGCCAGTGACAAAGAAGATGGTGATGATGATATCATTGATGATGACAAAGCTGATTCAGCGGTTAAGGATGAAATAGTTGAAGAAGTTGTAGTTGAAGAAAAGCAAACCGTAGAAGAGGTCATCTCAACCGAAACAGCGGCTGCTCCGGTGAGTGAACCAACAGAAGACAACATCAATGATGATGATGATGATGGAAAAAACGAAGGAATTGGATCAGATGCAAAAGAAGATGATGCTGCAAAAGACGTTTATAAGATCGAGAATGAAGAAAAGCTAGGGGATAATGACGAAGATGGGACTGTTGAAGACGTAGATGATGACAAAAGGGATAATGATGATGATAGAGCCACGAAAGACGAAGCGGGTACCGACGACGTAGATGCGACTGATGATACACAAGAGGTGGCATATGATGGTAAGACAGAGGAAAAAGAAGAAAAAACACATCCAATGGAAACAAAAACAACAGAAGTAGGGGAAACTACAGCTGCAACAATTGACGAAAAGGATGCTGAGGAGACAGCAGAGGATTCAGAAATAAAAACTGAATCTAAAGACGACGACACAAAAATAACAAGTAAAGCTGCTAAAGATGTGATCGACGACAAGGATAATGAAAAATCAACAGCAATGGAAACAAATGATGACACAGAAAAAGCCGACGCTGAGGACGACGTGGACGACTCGTTGCATGAAGTAGATGAGCAGTCTGCAGAAGTGAAGGAAGATATAAAGGATACAGAAAAATCAAGCGAGAAGACCGCTGATACAAATGATGATACTGAAGAAGGGGCAGAAGATGACACGAAGACGGAGGGAACAGATAATACAACCGAAGACGAAAAAGACATCACTAAAGAAAACGAAACAACCGATGCCCAAGAAGAGGAAACATGTGATGTTCCGGAGGAAAGTAAAAGTGCCCAAACAGAGGAAACGGATGATACCACGATAGAAGACAAAACAGAACATTCCAAGGTAGACGAAAAGACAGATGACCAAGCTGATGATGGTGATGACAAATCAACAGACGGAAAATCAATTAAAGAAGCGGAGGATACAGAGAAAGCCAAAGAAGCGACAGCAGAAACAGATGATACGGTCGAATCAGTGAAAGCTGATATAATAGATGAGACGAAATCCGCGAAAACACCAGAGGATAAGGATAAAGAGGAAAGCGTAACAGAAGAACATGTAATCTCGAAAACAGAGGAGACAACAGTAACAGAAGCAGCTGTTTCAAAACAAGATGGGACTAAAGACGAAGGATCCGCTGATGCTACCAAAGACACGCCAGAGGAAAGCGAAACAGCTAAGACACCAGAAGAACCAGATACAAAAGAGGAAACGAAAGATGACTCAGTACAAGATCATGACACAAAGGATGAAGGCAAAAAAGACGACGAAGCCAAAACGTCCGTTGCTTCCACGGAAAATGAAACAGATGCAGGAGAATCAAAGACAGAAGACTACAAGGTTGATGAAAAAGCGAACGAAATTGATACTAAATCTGACGAAGATAGCGCGGAAAAAACTGAAGTTGCCGAAACAGTTACAGCAGAGAAGGAGGATAAATTAGATAAACAAGAAGATTCTGAGGAAGCTGTGGCTGACGTCAAACAAAAACGTGATGAAAGTGATGAGTTACCGAAAGTAAACGGCGTGCCTGATGCAACTCAACCAAAGATAATTGCCGATTCTAAAACTGGTGATGATGACACTACTGATAAGGTAGAAACGATTGAAGAAGAGGCAAAATCTGAATCTGAGGAAAAATCAAAAGATGATCCGTCCAAGACAACAAATGATGCAGTAAAGACACACGGTGTAAATGGTGATGTGGCTGCTGATACCGACGACAAGGAGACGACAAATGACGACGATGCAGGTGATTTGTCTTGTCTGATCATCGTTACCGTTTGAGCAGCACCCCTAATATGATTTTCCTTTATCTTTTACTCCGCATGTAGTTGCATTGGCATCTGTTTGTGGTCTTGCTAGTTCACCGTTTTATTCATTCAGAGAGGCATCATGCTAACGTTGCTTTTCTTTTTATATGTTGTTTTTGGCCGACAGATCAGCCATCGCGTTAAGGTATCGCCACATCCCGGATCCGCATTTGGATCCCTGGGTTCATTTAAGGGCGGAACCAGACTACCCTCCCGCGGAGGCAGGTACGTCATCCAGACTATCGCATGCCACGTGACAGCGAAGACATGCTATGATTGGTTCTTAATTTCCCCTTCCATGTTTGTTTTAATTTCAGTTTGTTTTCTTTTTATTTTTAACCCAACAGAGTAGGACTGCGAAATGTTGTAGAAGAGGCAGTAAGCTCCCAAAGCCGAGGGGCATCCCAAATATCGGAAATGGTATCAGGCTACGAGTCGAAGGGTGGTGCGTAGAATAACACTACTGTATATATGCAGGACTAACTTGTTATAGTATAGATTTCTAACACTTATGTATGTATACAAGACGAATTGGGCATCACATAACTATAAAACACACTAACCGGATATTCTAAACTAACAAATGACAAATATATTTACTTGTAGATACTTTCTAACCAACTTACATCACTAAACTTACTATTTACATAATTATATTATTCATGTATACAACAATGCACGAAGGGTTCAGTATATTGTACTGCTATTGCTCTTTTCAGGTCATTTTTAACACAAACAAATGTGTCAGAGCATATCGAGGAATTATGCAAAATATCAATGAAAAAGTCAGCTTTATTTCAATATCTCTTAAAATCCTAAAGCGTTATTAAACTAGATGCTTTGCTTCGTTAAATCAGAAAATATCGCATGGCAGAGCTGAATTAAAAACCTTGAAATGACCTTAATGCTGGACCAAAGCTTACTTAATAACCGTGACCAAGATACTACTGTATAATGATCGAGTCAGGCTAGGCTGCAACGGTTCGCGACCGGATCTCACTGATTCATCTCGCGAACATGTAATGAAGATTCAGTGTGCATTAATTTCTGCTTTTGAAAAAGTATTTTTTCTTACTTTCTGACTACAGCACATGCGGCTTCAGGTACCATGTTTGTTACGTTCTGTATGCATGCCACATCACTTGTAATGCACGTGTATAATTTCTCATCAACATCAACTATCATTTTCATCCTTTAGCTGCCATATGTTATTCTTGTTCTTATTCTTCAAGATTCGAGGCTAATATCAGGTCTTTAAGATACATTTATGACTATCAAAAATGTATAATTCGTGTGGCTTACATAAGCAACTTTGTTTCTTCTTTATGTCCTTTTCATTTGTTTACGTCTCATGTGTATGTACTTACAACTTGAAATGTAAATAATTCTACATAAGTTTCTAACCATTGCGTAAATATCAGATGTGAACATTTATCAGCTTGACTTCATTTTCCATTATATGTGTTTACAAATCATTTCATCATGTCACGCTGATCTTAATTGATTTGTTCTGAAAACAAATACATAAAAGTAAATCGTTTAATACAGTTACAATAACAAAACCATATATAGCATTATTGTGTAACGTTTGTAATGTTAAATGTTTAAAGTAGTATTAAGAGAGTATTAGCAGAAGCAATATTTGCTGTTGAAATTGACAGTTTACAGTACATTAACGTTTTATTGATCTGTTATGGTTGGAATTGTGTTACAGACTCCTCCGTAAGTATGAGGATGATGCGCGGAGAGGTGTCTGCTAAGACAACCTACCAGAAAACATCTACTGGCCCTGTCTCCGTGTCAGAGGTCAGCCCTGAAGGCAAGTTCATAGTCTTGGAGAACACATCTTCCGGCAGTAACAAGAGGGTGAGTATACCAGTTTAGGACATATCTTGTATTGAGGTTTTATCAAATAAGAAAACAACCAAGCAATATTTTGTTTCTATTTGAATAGAACTATCAGGCATGGAAAGAGCTATTAAGGAGTTATTTACCAAGGTTTCCAAGAGGACGTATATGTTAACAAACCTGATTGTTTCTAGAAATGTTTGAAAAACTTAATTCGAGTTATTGTTTATCGAATTTCAATAACAAGAAAGAACGGTGCGTAAATTGCACTAATGGAAATAAATCTAAATATCCGAAAGTATAAACACAGCCTTTGTTTTGTTTTAGGAGGTTGACATGAACAAATGGAGACTGAAGAGGACCGTTGACGGTCAGCGTGACTATATTTACGAATTTAGAAACTTCAACCTCAAGCCAGGAAAGAGCGTGAAGGTAAGCTGATTTCAAATAATTCTATTAAACACTTTCGTACAAAATTGGATATTAATAAACCAAATATTGTATTACATTCAAGTGTATTTCGTTTTCTTAATTTGTTTTCTGGCGTATGTTCCACACATGTGTAAAGATAAAAGAATGTTCTCGTACTGAATAATACGGATGTATGCTTATACGCTCTTCATGTGTTGCGCATGTTTCCACAGATCTTTGCTCGAGGGTCTGCCGGAGATGCTGGTCTAAATGATCTTGTGTTCCGTGACGAAGACACCTGGGGCTATGGAGCCCAAGTGACAACCTGTCTTTTGAACGAGAAGAATGAGGTAAGCGTCAAACAAATATTATATTGCATAATTTAGTTATCCTTTTTGTCTAATTAAGTTGTTTACCATAATATTCTATTGTAACGGATACATTGTTTACACACTACTGTATCATTTTATCGACTTTCGTATGAGTGTGCAAACAGATCTAGGTTTTCAACATACGGAGATATAATTTCTTTTCGCTTTATTGAATATTTGTCATTAACAAAGTTCAGATACCAAAATATTTTAAAAATGCAATCAATCAAGTAGGAATGTGGGGAAGTTTATCCAGGTGTATGGTTGGTGCTCTGAAGAATGTTACATGGAAATACCATGGAGGTAGTACTTTTATATACACCACACTAACAAAATAATGTTTCCTTATCCTTTTAGGAAAAGGCTGCCCACACTCAGAAGACCAAGTACCAGTAAAATGTCATCTTGCCATGCCATGACGCCAACAACTACTGCAAATTATGTAACTACTGTAGTGTGCTTCCCATGATAGACTGCTGACTTCTGTTCAAACGTTCTGTTGCGCTGATGGATTGACTAACCAATCGATGTTCGGAGTTCCGGCTTTCTTTTAATGATTGACTACCCACTCGTTCGATGTTTCGAAATTCCTCAAACCGTGCGACGCCATAATGATAGAAACAAACATTTATGAACAGTTTAATTAAACGATTGTCTTTCTAATTGTAGCAAAACACATAAACGATAACTCTAGATCCTAGAGTGTGACAGCTTGTAATTTCCTGATACTAATCATTTAAAGAGGAATGCCTTATTGTGGCAACAGGTAAAACGTTTACACGACACAAAGGCTTGAATAACACATGCGTCAATTAAAATCAAAACTACAGCGATTATGTTCATTTTTACTAACCTAATATAATGGATATTTGCTAATTGAAATCTTGAGTGATTTGAAACAAATCTTCGTTGTTTAAGAAGTAGGTCGTTGACACATACCTTTGCTTAGCTGTATATCTTCTTAAGGTAAAATTGAACGAACGCTGATCTTGCACGAGAGATACGAAAATATGGCTGTAAACTGTGATGCAAATTTGCTGCTTTTTGAGCATGCCATTCACTAACATTAGATGTGAAGTAATATATGTGATTTTGGATAACATTATTATTAATGTACATGATGTCAGTGGTGTACCAATCGAGTATTTATTACAAATTTTATCATTAATGAATATCTGTAATTTTCAATTATGTTTTAAGAATTACTTTTAAGTAATAATTTTATAATGTATTCCTCCTCCCCTCCCTGTACTCGTCTTCCCGATTAAATTAATTGAATACCTTTTTTTTTTTTTTTTTTTAACTTTTTCACATTTTTAAAAAATCATTATCATTATTCATTTTTCCAAAATTATTTCTTGTACCTTTTTATTCAGTGATGTAGCGGAAGTTAACCTAGCATTCTGTTAGTTCGGGCGTGAAAGTTCAACGTGAAGATGAGTATTATAAGGGAGATTATCAACAAAAGCATTCGAATGGTTCCACTACCAAGCTAATTTAAATATGCTCGACTTTATTATTTATGCAATTTTCTTTCAATAAATGCTGTATTTTGTATTATTTTGGTTTGTTCTTTTGTTTGCATTATTTATGTTTGGATTTCGTCAGATTTCTTGCTCGATTATTTTCCGTTCTTGAAATGGACTTTCGCCTACGTCACCAATCAAATTTAGATACAGTGAACTAGTAAAGAAGAATAAGATCTTATTTAGAAATGTACGGCTTGCAATGCCAAATATTAAGATTTTATACGAATCATATATTCAATAGAAACATAGTGGTGAGGGTGTAAGTGTAGCAATGACATTGACTCATTTAAGCCAGTTGCATCATCTACTGATAAAATGGCACCGTGTTCCAACACTGAAATGGACGTAAATCAATACCAACCTAGGTCAATGATGGCAGCTGCTTGGGAAACTAGACCAACCCCTGTCACGCATTGACTTTTCCTGTTGTTTTAATCACTGAAACGGGAATTAAAACGTTACATCCGTCCATCTAATGCTTCTACATGTTATTGTAGCGACTAAAATCAGCATTGCTAAATCTTGGAATAACCCGGGCAAACATGCTGTAAGTTTAGGATTGCGGAAAACTGGAATGTGTTATTATAATAACTCTGATAAGTTCTAGAAAATTGGGCTGAAACGACTTCGACTGATTTAGGGACTTAATGATTTTGAACGATGGAAATATGCTTTTCAAAATAATGAAATGCAAGGTATACTAACGATATGGTATGAGTGGTAATGGACACTGACATCAGTCTAACATACATATCGATAAATTACTACGTGTTCGATTAAGTGCGGCAATACAAATTGCGAAGCCGGTCGTTTACCGAAAGTAGCATTTCTACTGCGAGAAAATATTCTCCAAAGCAATATGACAATTCCTTGCGTTTTGAGTGGATGATCACGAAAGTTTGGTACAGTTGACACAGACGAGGTATTCGCAATAGATTATACACAGACATTTAAAGACTATATGAAATAAAAATAGACAGCAATCTGTCTCTGCGGTAAAGGGTGACGATATGTTTGATTGACGATTATGCTTTATTCTACTTCTGTGTATTTGTTTCCGTTTTTTCCTGTTTGTCATTTTCGACTTTATAAATCCCCCTTCTTTACCTTTATCCGCCATACCTCTATTGTCTGTAGACCAAACTGGTATTATATTCTGCGAGACCTTACTAGTGTACATCGATACATCCACATCAACAACATCATGTAATTAAACGACGTCCTCCTCATGTTTAACTTGGAGCAAGTGTTTTATATATGTTAGCATGGCAAATCAGTTCGTTCATAGTTCTATGAATGATATATATGTGGTAGGGTGCTAAGATCAACAGATCAGTGCTAGCTGGGAATATTAATATCAGTATATCTAGTAGTAGTATGTATGTACAGCAATAGCAAATACTTATAAACAATGTTATTAATACTTTTGATACGTTAACATTTACTTACGTGATTGTAATGAAATGGCGCGGCATATAGAATATATCGTTATAACACCCCTTATAGGGCATTTTTATTGATTTTTACATTATCGTTATAAAATGTTGATAATTCTGTATATACATTATAATATAGTGCATAGAACTTATACATATGTATGGAACACCGGTGACCTCCATTTTATTGCCCGATCACCTGCCATCTCTAATAAGCGTATTATCTTTAAAAAGAAATCCTGGCAATAATAGCATTATATCAGATGACATGGCTTTGTCACGAAATAATTGTAACAATGATATTGAAAACAGGACATTAGCAACATGTAATTCTGTTTAACAAATGTCTATCTTTGTTTTCGCAATTATATAATAACTTATTGATGACGCTTGCAAAGCATATTAAAAGAACTACATATTCTAACATGATAAGGTATGCAAATGAGCCTGAATCGTAGATATATGTATTACACTACACATATCCTTTGTTACCATGACCCCCAATGTCATAACATAATATCGTATGATGCTATCAAGCTTGGGAGTGTGATATTGATCGACATTTGTTTAAGCTTAATTCGTCATTTTCCTATTTTTATTCTAATGGCAAACAGTTCAGAGAAAAACAAGGACAAGTCATGAGTTTCCATAAAACTTTCGTAAATCAGGTTTAATTGGAGTTATCGAAGTATGTTATGGGTGTAGATACAGTCTGTGTGTGTATATAAAAGGCATTCCGTCCGGGACTAAGACCAGTATTAACCCTGACAAGTTGTACCTAAAGTACGTCAGAGTATTCGTCAGCGGGAAAGGCAAAACAAACCATGGAGAGGTTCACATTGAGATGAAAATGAAACGTGTTTCTGAGTTTAGAACAGGTTAATACCTGCCATTCCCTGCAATGTGAAACCACCAATTCATCAACAGAATCTCCGACTATTGGTGAGTGTGGGATTGGTTTGTTGTGATGCAGAGATCATTGGTAGTTTATAGATCTGATATAGGAATGAGGCACCAAAATGATGTAAATGTGTGCGTGTAAATGTGAAAGAATACTTGAAATGTCTGGTTGTGTTACACTATTTATACACATAATATATGTATACAATTGTTTTCTTTGTATCAAGACCAACGAATATCATCTCCATATGCCTTAGTTATGCCTGCCTTTGGTCAGAGCTATGTCCCCTCATAGATAGAAATTTGATGTTTAAAACACTTATATATAAAGCAGTTAATACATCCCCCGTACACACTTGAAAAGCGTGAATATTCTATTACAATATTTTATTCATAGTACAAATACTTAAAAGAACGAGGATATCGTCAAAATATATCTGCATTTTCCAAAGATATAACGTTTTACCTGTGCATATAAAATGAAGTTCAAGATATAATGTCATAATAATGCGTATGACGTCAAATAGTATTAACTGTGTTTAGAGGTGGTCGGTATCGCCAGGTAGATATGGTGGTCACTGTTTTTTTTGTTTTTTTCACTGTTTGAAAACGAAGGGATCACTGGCTATGCATTACACGAGTTTAGCTCTACAGGCGTGATGTCCAGTCTTTGCACCGGGCAATGGTTTATGTCCAGTCTCTGTACCGGGCAATGGTTGATGTCCAGTCGCTGTACCGGGCAATGGTTTATGTCCAGTCGCTGTACCGGGCAATGGTTGATGTCCAGTCGCTGTACCGGGCAATGGTTTATGTCCAGTCTCTGTACCGGACAATGGTTTATGTCCAGTCTCTGTACCGGACAATGGTTGATGTCCAGTCTCTGTACCGGACAATGGTTGATGTCCAGTCTCTGTACTTGGCAATAATTCTTTACTCTTTTATCTTAATATCTTACGCTCGTCCAATTAATGTCTTACATTCTACTATATGTTTTTCTGTGATATCTTATTAAAACCTACCACTTAAGCTTTCAAACCCGTGTCGTTTTCTTTGTACGTTTTGTGTGTTGTCTCTTTATATATCTAACCAAAGAAACAAGTCGTTGTAAATCCTCGCTAAACCAACAATCACTTAGCCGTTGTTTCCACTATTCAGTCAGTATAACCAGCAACATGCTTCCTCTTCTTTTATATCGTAGAGTACCAGCAATCCAACTTTCCTCATAATCAAACTATTTCCCAATCAAGTAGTTGAAACAACTCAAATCTGGATTAAAGATATCTAGAGAAAGGACAATACTCTCAGTTTTATGCAAGATGCTCAATAGACTATTACGATCCCCTTCCATATCAGTGATAGATAATTTTGTTTTCTATTTATGTACTTGAAACAAATAAAACCCCGCAATAGCACAACAACAAATATGAGTATGAAATCTCATTTGGAAAAATCGACATTTTTTGATTTTAAGGTATATAAACCAACGCTTAATGTTAAAACAGAATCTTGTACATGATTTAGGTAATAGTACAGACGTTTTTACATCTGATAGCGATTTAAAACTATCCGCTTGTCCAAAAATAGCTTGATTGTAAAAAGACGGATTTCATGGTTTCTTTATATTTGTCCTGCAAGGTAAACCATCCCATGGCTTATCTATTGCTGATGGTGAATTCCCACACATTCCACATAATCCTAATGTCAGACATCGTCTTGTAAACGCCAATAATCAGAACACAAGTAGCCTTATGAAGTCAACAGCAGACATAACACACCCGAAACAATTGCAAAAATAGAAACCGAGAAGATGTCAAACATCACACAAGGGTTTCTTGTATCTGAAAGGTTTCCATGTACGACGGGGAAATGTTACGGTTAACATCATGACTTGATTTCCGTCTATGATATCTCATGATCAGTGTCAGCATTGTTTGAGGACTTGTTCACTATTATATCGTTATCGACAAATGCATTTGTTTGAAGTCAACAGGAGACATTATGATGGTAGAAAAGAAACTGTTTACTCTTCTGGAGTGGCTGGATTATTTTCATATTTCTTTCCTAATTTGCCTGAATTGATATTCAGATAATATAGATGCAGACAAATACTCAGCTCGTTAAACTAAATCGACCTATGAGACTGCCTATTCCATGTATTTTAATCAAGAAGACAGAAATGAGGTACCTCGAATTCAACAACACATCAATCAACATTTAGTCCAATATAAAAGAATTTCATTCAGTAAAGTTTACCTGTCCGTCAGTTAAAATTGCGAAGAGGAGTTTAAAGTGTACGACTTGGATTATTCTACCTTTTATTTAGAAAATGAAACAACGTTATATAAGGGTAATTTTCTCATAGACTTTGCGGCTGATACATTTGAACGGTCATTTTGAGTATGTGCTTCTGGCAACGTTGGACAAATATGTGTTCTGCAATGTAAAGGTCCCGAGTTCAGCCTCTACTGTTTATCCATTCAGTTTATAACATTGATATCCAGATACTGATTGTCCCTGTAGCATTAATTCCAGCAGACATGATTTCATCCTAACTATAGCATGATGGTTGCGTTAAAGGTACTTCCATCCGCTGTGATTTAATACATGCTATGTTTTCATTCTTTAAATCATGTTTTAGAAGCATGAAAATTCAATACAACACATTGGTATCAGCATTACTTTTCAATGAACTTGAGCTTATATTCCTATTATTATTTCCTGAAATTTGTGTTGATAAATTGAATCATATTTTTTTAATGACTGATAAAATATGCACTTGTTTGGGTATTTGCACATAATACTTGTAAATCCATGAACACGGGACAAAAATGATCCCTCTCTATAAATAAGTATATAATACATAAATACACTTTATTTATTTTACAACAATTATGAAACAAGATATTTCAATCTTGTTGGCCCGGATGTTAGCGCGCGGAGGGTCTAAAATGAGGGAGGAAACCGGAGTACCCGGAGAAAACCCAACGTGGTTGGGCAGGTGACCCCATACCTGTTCACGTTCGATCGGAAATCGAACCCCGGTCGCCTTGGTGAAAGGCAAGTGCGCTATCCATTACACCACCCGACCATCCTATAAATAAGTAAGCATGTCATCAGGGTGTGAGGTCGCTAATTCAATAAATAGACTAAAATTAACCTGGTAAAGCTGAAGTGGGTATAGGTCTATTGTACTATTGCATCTTGGTTTACATGACAAGTTGAGTCAGATTTATAGAGATTGATTCTTGGCTAACATTTTCACAAACGATATTTTCTCTGTCCAATACTTTATTCGTTTCATGATCAAGTCAAAAGTTGTGAAGATACGATTGTTTAGCCAACAAACAAGTACGGCACGCTTCATCAAAGCATAGTCCGAGCTTCCTCTGGCTCCAACACCAGACTTACGGTTTGACATAGACATCTATCTGTCTTAAGTCTGGTGTTAGGGCCAGAGGAAACTCGGGCTACTCAAAGCAGTGCTTATCGGTGTGTGCAGGAAACTAAAATCATACATAATTGTACAAGCATAACCGCGACACCATTGACTTAAGAATCACCATTCAACTGCAACCTGTTTGTGTAATGCAAGTATTAGTTTAGTTTACTCATTGATGGACACGGTATCCCCTTTACATATAACTCCCGACTCTTCACAGAAAAAGGATATTTAGTTGCCCCGTCTTAATATTGCCAACTTTGCGTAAGAGACCACCTGTTTATGACTAGTCAAACCTGCCTTAAAAACCTGTGAATTACGACCGGTGCCCTCTCATGTATATCGCCTATATAACTAGTCAAACCAATGCATCAGAGACAACTTGTATGTAATTAGCTAACCTTTCTTTGAGACTATCTGTCCACAGTGGCTATCTCACTATAACAACTTAAACCTGTCTTTCACGGGTCCGTCGATTTACCCAATACAACCGTCGATTTACCCAATACAAACGTCAATTTACCCAATACAACATAATACTACCCAATACAAGCGCCGATTTACCCAATAGTATTAGGTAGTATATATTGGGTTGTATTGGGTAAATCGACGCGCCGTCTTTCACTACTTAACCTGTCTCAGAGACCACCTGCCCACAGTTGCTATTTCACTAAATAATAACGTAAACTTGCTTTAGAGACCATTTGTCTATAATTTGTCAAACCTGCGACAGAGACAACCTGTATATAATATCAACTGCATCTATAGTTACCACCTCGCTGTATCTTATCAAACCTCCCTAAAAAACTAGAACTGTCATCCGGAGGATAACTAATACCCCCGCGGATGCTGGTAGTTTATACATCATTTAGTTACCTTGACCTGGGGTTTCCGGACAAGCTATTTTGCATAATGGCCCGAAACTTCCTTAAAAAGTATTTAAATCTAAAATTAAAACGCCGGTGCACAACTACATAATAAACCAATCATTCAAATTAAGTTTCATCAAGTATTTCGCACAAAGGGGCATAACTCCACCAAAAAGTGTCGAAATCCCAAATTGAACTGCTGGTACACAACTACATAAGATACCGATCATTCATGCAAAGTTTCAATGAAATCCACTTGTTTGTTAAGGAGGAGTTGCATGGACAAGTATTTCGCACAAAGGGGCATAACCACATCAAAAAGGGTTAAAATCCCAAATTAAACCACCGGTGCACAACTAAATGAGATACTGATCATTCATGCAAAGTTACAATGAAATCCACTTGTTAGTTAAGGAGGAGTTTTCCGGACAAGTTACTGCGGAGGACATCCAGACAGTGTGATTCCAGTATACCCCGCTAACTTCGTTGCGGGGGTATAACAACACATGTTTTTTCTCTCCAATTTGAATATAATTATCAGCACATGTTTTTCGTACCAGTTTAACCTGTTAACTTGGGTTTTCTCTCCTAGTTGAGCAACCTTTGTAGACGTATTTGACTGTATATATAAAATAAAACAACAAAACAGGGTGGTCAGTCTGTTTTATTTCACAAGTTTATTTACATTCATCACATACACACTCACTTTCAACAAATCAACAAGTATACTCACATTAAACATTGAAACATTTCAGAATTTCCTCATTTTATTTCTGAATATTTAGATTTTACAGTGACTGAATCATTTTCTAAGTTCACAATTTTTTATACAATGTAACTGTGAATTTTTTTTACTTCAATTGTTGTTTTTATTTATCAACATTAATGTATATTTATTCATCCCAAAAATTATACTTTGCTGTATAATTGTCTCCTATGGCTTTTAATAAATTTTGTACATGAAATCCCCTATGTTACCATCAACTCATTAGACATTTGTTATAATTTCAATTATAACCACACATTAACTTATTTCAAACATATTTGACTATTTCAATACAGAAAATTGACTTGGTCAATTTGTTAATAGGGCTAGATAATTAGGGTAGCTCGCCAGTCTAACTAACGAAATTTAAAGCTGGACTAGTGGTTCCAAAAAACAGCTAGCCAGATTATGTAGTCAAAGTTTGATATTGCTTATCTTGTTAAATAATTTTGGATGAGTATAACACATGGACTAGTAAAATTGGAAACTACAACCTGGCTGACAAGTGTTTTTCAAAATTAGTTTCTAGACCTGGTTGTAGGCAATCTAGGTGTGAGATTCACTCAGTCCAAAGGAAACACCAAACTTAAATACTTCAGAATTGCATATATATATGCATGTACTTTGATTCTAGTGTCAGTAACCATTTTTCATTTGAGCCATTCATACTTCATCCTCATTCAGTAACATGTTTGGTATTCCAGAACTGATGGGGAACTGTCGGCCAGTTTCGGGACATACTAGGTTTCCTTCTAACACCTCAACCTGAAACAGAAATAATACAAAGATGGAATAGTAACAATGACTGAGAGTAGAAAAATAATAAAACTAAATGTAGGAATATGTTACCATGACTGATCAATCACGATGGGATGTTCATCATTATAGACAATGCTTCAAAGATTGACCTGCATGATATCAAATCCCTTGATCAGTAAAAATGCATATTTCTCCCACAACCACTTTGGGGTTTCTTCAGTCAATCTTCAAGTTATGACGACATCATCTCCCATTGTGAAGATACAAGTGATCATGGCAGCTGTTTCCCTGGTCAGAAACAGGAATGTATTCCCAAGAGACACAGGTTTTCTGGATATAATATTTGAACGCTGTGGGAGAAAAGGTCCCCAAAACTCATAATGACTGTTTATAATGTTTTATCCAACTCTCGCTAGTTAATTTTGCAAAATACACTTTTTAAATCCTGTGTTTTTATATAGTTTGATAATAATATTAATTAATTTGCAACTCCACAAGAAAAAAATAAGTAGAAAGGCCTAATAAGGCCAGTAAATCAGTGTCTGTTTCCCCTACCTACATGTACCCTAGGTGTTTTTTGTCTCCGTTACACTTTCTTTCACATATATATTTTTTTATCTTAATTAAGCAAAAAAATCTGAAACACCATCTCTTTATAACCTAAATGTGAAAAGATTTTGAAAAATCAAAAGTGATGACTACCGACATATTTTTTGAGAACTATAAATGGAAACACAGAACTGATGATGTTTGGCCTTGCTAAGATGGAGAATTGGTTTCGTACACAATCAGATATATTTTACTAATGATGTGTTAATGAGGTGGTGATGGAGTTTTAATGGGCTACATTTCAAGCAGTCTCTATAACCTTATTTCAAAGCGAAGGCATTGTCATGAGTTTTTACCTGCATCAAGACATGGTGTACTTTCTTAAGTAACATCTCATCTTCTTCGTATTTCTCTGTAAGTGCCTCTGGTAATCCTTCCCCATGGCCAACCTGCAAATTTTAAAAATTTCAATGTAACAGCTGGACAAATTAAAACAGTCAGTGACATAATTAAGCTATGTCTACTTAATTATGTACGAGAAACTATTACATAAATATGTGTTTATCAACAATGTAATCGGCTTCATTTTAGTTTTCCTTATAATATTCAATAGCTATACATATATGCATGATGTATTAGCACATCATTATAAATAAAACTCAAATGAAGTAAAATATTTCATTTTCATTTCATACACTAACCATGCTGTTATAAAACATGTATTTTAGAAGAATGTGCTGTTGACACCAGAATGAAGGCTAAATACATGTATATGAAACCTGGCATTAGTATTAAAGATGAGGCATAGATTTCAAAAGATTCCCAGATGACAATGCAATTATGATCATGACAATCTTGTACTGATATGAAATTTAATGATTTATTGCAACTGAAAAACTTTGGCAAATAAAAGCACAGAAAAAAACATCCCTTCAGGATATAAGAAATTTGAATTGTTCATATTACTAAATTGTACTCTGAACTTGACTAAACAAATTTTCAACCTCATTCCTTATTCAATAATAAAAGAAACTTTCTTGCTTGCATTGTTTTTGAGATTGATGCTTTCAAAATGATTCTCTCATATGATTAAGGTCCTGTTGTTAAACAAAATATCTATAAGATAACTTAGGTTTGTCTTATGTTGCAGTTTATAAGTCTACAGTACAGACAACTGTACTAACATGTACTTACTGATTGTGCTGCCTGGCATAGTGCTGGCCAATCAATTTTAGGCAGCATTCGTGAAATAAATTCTGGGTTGAAGTCAACTGTTTTCACCTCAACTTGTGTGGGCTGTTTAAAAGAATATCATAATAATTAACCTTTTTCTTTAATCGTGTAGTCATGCTAAGATCTTCTCAGCTGAATGTTTGAATAATACATGCAAGTAACATCACACAGTCTTATTTATTTCTGGCTACTGGTCTAGAAAATGATTTTAAAAAACACTATAGACAGTCAGGCTAGAAGTTTCTTATTTTAATAGTTCATGTGCAAATTCCACGTGCACTAACCCAAATTTTGACTAATCAATCGAGCTAGCAGTTTTCAGTATAACTATTCTAGTTGGAGATTTCATAAGCATCAGACTAGCAGGCTTCCCTTATTGTCTAGACTTGGGGTAACTTATAAATAAGCTATTTTCTTATCCAAATAATTGACTCCATGATCTGTACAGAAGGTAAAAATGTACTGATTGTTTTTCTGCATTACTTTCTGAAATATCTATGCAATATCCCATCCAAATCCCCTCTTTTCTGTAATATCTCATTTCTTTGCATTCTGATCCATATATATTTCCATAATCTTGTTTTACAGAAAAAATATTGAAATGTGAGTTATGAAATGTGATAACATTGCTTGGTATTTCTGTTGGGCTTCTGTGGATGTTGATGGGCTTATTAACTAGTATCGGGCATCACTTGAGACAAATCATTGCCATACAATTATATGGTAACCCCTTTCATCTTCACATGCTACTCTGTACAACCTACATTTACCATAATTTCACATGTCATAAATTAAAGTAATTTATATTATTAAACACGAAGATTTAATACAAGTATATATCATCTACCTAGGCTCATGTTGATCGATGGGGCTCATCATTTTTTTTCTCAAAATAAAGAATGGTGGAAACAGTTTAGTATTAAATCATAAATAAGATTAATTCAAAGTATGACGGCCATGCTCTGCTGAAATTATTGTTGTTTTTGTGTAAATGGTAGTTCAATGTACGTTACAAAATAAGTACAAAATAATTTCACATGTGCTCAGGTTCTGGAATATATGTGATATACTATCGCACCACACTAAATATCGCACCCCATAATAATGATTTATTAGTATAACGAGGTCCGTCGATTTACCCAATACTACCCAATACAAACGTTGATTTACCCAATACAACAATTTTATTATTTATGAAGTAAATAATCGTGGGAATGATTTACTATAATTCTAAAATAAGTGTATTTATCTTTGTTTGTATTAACAATGAAATATTTTGAAATGAAATAGATTAAATCAAGGATTTCCAAATAAGGACGATCAATCTTGCCAAAAAATACTGGGGTCCGCACAACATCGGTACTGGTATAGGGTCACTAACATTTAACTTTATATTGGATAGTATTGGGTAAATCGATACTTGCATTGGGTTGTATTGGGTAAATCGACGTGCCAGTATAATTTAAAAGGTTGTGATATCTAGTGGGTGCAATAATATATCACATATATTCCAGAACCTGAGCACCTGTGAATATTTTCACGACGATTTTATAGCAATGTCCATTGCATAAGGAATTTTTTTAACATATTTGGTATATATATATATGTTAATTTTTACTGTTTTTACTACCCGTTGACAGTAATTTTATATATACAGATATACCTGTAGAACTAATAACTGACTGTTTACCTTACACGTCTCTCACAGAACTGAGAGGTTCTGTTTTTGAGCAAGTTTCACACGAAAATGAGTCACTAATTAGCAATACTAATCGCTGTTTGGAGGGGTGTGCGCTGGAGATCTTATCATATTTCCAAAACTGTGTTTGGGCACTATTGAATTGATCGTTCTTTTCACAGAACTTTTTAGCCACGAGTCTGGATATGGATTTTCCGATTACTGATAACTGTGTACTGTACAGTGTACACAAAGTCCAAACACATACGAATCAATACTTACTACAATTTTCAATGGATATCCATTCGTCACAGTTTTGATTATGTTGGAAGTCAGCATATTATGAGTTAAAAGCTTCATTTTGTCCTGCTTTCCCCCCTTACCATGTGGTGATGTAAACATGAAACAAGGTAGAACAAAAAATACACCACACAAACAAGCGGGTAAAATTAAAAGCCGCAATATGGTTTATTTATTGTTAAATTATATATCAATAAACAAAGTACACAAAAAAACAATATTCAAGAATTAAAGACAAAAGAATACAATATTGTAAATTAATATTGCACAATATGCAATTACATTTCGTTTTATTTGTGGTCTATACGTTATGATATTGTATAAACCAAGATGTCTGCGCCCTTTGAATGAAAAACATGCCACTTGTCCGCTACTGTGAACACGGTTAAAACACATATTGTTCCAAATAGGAAGACGTTCACGTTTGTCATGGAAAGTAATTAGATAGACAATTATTTCAGTATTTGCAGCATTATTTCACATGACTATTTGAGTGAAAAATGTCTAGGAATAAAAAGTGTGTGTTCACAACAGCCCTGGATTTCTGTCCCGACTGTGGATCTGTGTTACCCTTACCGACGTATGAACAGTTCCTCGCCTGTAAATCCTGTTCGTTCAAAATTGATGTAAATGGCAAGTATTTATGGTTTACCGGGATAAAACATGTACATAATGTTCCATGTCTGGTCAGATGATGGGAAGGAAATATCAAATGTAAATGCCAATTCTGTCAATGCTATAACAAATATTCCAAACATCACTCAATACAAGAACATTACCCAGTGACTGGAAACACGCCAACGTAAACCCCATATACAAAAAAGGAGACAAATACAACCCAACAAACTACAGACCAATATCACTCGCATGCATACTCTTAGAACACATCATCACAAGAGCATCCATGAAACACTTGGAAGACAGTAAAATATAGCTGCGATAACGTAGCTTTCTGACGACAAGACATTTGCAGGAGCGGAGAGTAGGCAGGGTATGGATATTCGTTCTAAACAAAATACTGCACGACCTACAACATGGCTTCCGCACATCAAGATCATACAAGACCTCGCACAGAACCGCAACAACAACAAACAAACAGCCATTACCATAATGGACTTTAAAGTCCCAAACAAACTTTAAAGTCCCAAACAAACACCTACAGTACAAACTAAATTATTACGGCATCACTGGAACCATGTACTAACATGAATAACAGACTTCCTGTCAAAATGCACCCAAACAGTAGTACTTGAGGGCAAACACTCCGACAAAATACCTTTAACATCTGAAGTGCCTCAAGGAACCTGATTGGGACCAGTCCTCTTCCTCATATACATCAATGACTTCCCCAAATACATATCACACAGTACACTAAGACTTTTTGCAGACGACAGCATACTATACGAAACAATCAACAACAAAGTCAAAACGACAAAAACTACAAGCAGATTTAGATGCAGCTAGTAAATGGAGGACTGTCTCATGAAATTCCACCGAGACAAATGCACCATACTCACTATATCACCAAAGTGCACACAAATTAAACACCAATACACACACCATACTCACTATATCACCAAAACGCACACAAATTAAACACCAGTACACACACCATGCATACTCACTATATCACCAAAATGCACACAAATTAAACACCATACACACTTCATGACCACACACTAGAATATGTAACTTCAAACAAATATCTAGGCATTACACTTCAAAACAACTGAAAATGGGACAAACATATTTAAACAACATCACATCAAATGCAAATAAATCACTAGGATTTCTGAAACGCAACCTAAAAATAAATTCACCACACATAAAAAAACATGCATACAAGGCTATTGTAAGACCAAAACTTGAACACTGCTCTTCAGTTTGGGACCCACATTATACAAATATCATATATATATATCAATTAGAAAAGTACAACTAAGAGCAGCACAATATGTCCTAAACAAATACCATAACACAAGCTCAGTCACAGATATGATACACAACTTGCAATGGCCAACACTACACACACGCAGAACAAGAACATGCATTATTCTTCTCTACAAAATAATACACCAACAAGTAGCAATACACACTAACAATGTCATCGCGGCAGACACCAGAACACGTCAAGGACACGACCTTAGTTACAGACATATCTACATATCCAAAGACACATACAGACACTCGTTCTTTCCATACACCATAATACAGTTGAACCTCCTACCCAAAACAATAATCCAATCAGAAACACGAGCAGAATTCAGGACATCCACCACATATGACATAATCGAACATATACAAAACCTACAACATAACTAACACTCACATGCTGCTTTTAACCTGGTTTTATCCTATAGCAAATAACAAAAATATTAAAAAAAATCACTGTACATAATAATTAACGCACTACAGCACAAGACCGACTTATGTAATCGTAGGTTTTGATGGAGGAAAGAAAAATTATAAAGATGAAGAATAATGATAGTAATATATATATAGGATCTTACATGAGTTTCCATTTCCTATGAGATTGATGAAACGAGTCTTAGAATTTTTTCAATTTAGCGAGGCTCTTGCAAGAAAATGAAAAATTTGTTGCGAGTTTCATGTATCTCATATGAAATGAAAACGAAATTTTCTTTTTACCACATAATCAAGACTTGTGGCTTTATCAGCAAGGATGACTGAAAACAGTTTTCAATGACTGTCCGAGTAATTATTATTTGGGGGAATATCACGTAAAATTTTCCCATTAAGACAGATCGAAAAACAAAATATTTGAATTGAATTTTGACAGTTCAATTTTGATATCACTATTTTATATATATGTTCCCCTTGGTCCCCTTGTTAGAAAGCTTCATTGGAAGGAGCAAGACAAAGTTTGAGAATGAAAATGACCTTAACTTGCTTTCAAGGTCACAGCGGTCAAATATGTCAAACTTTTCAAATGACTTCTTCTGAAGAACTAAAAGGTATAGAATCTTCATATTTAGTTGGTGCCTTAATGGGATAGAGCCTGACAAAGTTTTAGAATGAAAATTACCTTGACCAACTTTCAAGGTCACAGGGGTCAAATGTGTCAAACACTTCAAACAAATTCTTCTGAAGAACTGAAAGGTATAGAATCTTCATATTTGGCTGGTTGCTTCCTCGGAGAGAGCCAGCTGACAAAGTTTGAGAATGAAAATGACCTTGACTTTCTTTCAAGGTCAAAGCCTTCAAATGCTTTAAAAGACTTCTTCTGAAGAATTAAAAGGTATAGAATCTTCATATTTGGCTGGTGATTTCATGGGACAGAGCCCGACAAACTTTGAGAATGAAAATGACCTTGACCTACTTTAATGGTCACAGGGGTCAAATGTGTCAAACTCTTCAAACGACTTCTCCTAAATAATTAAAAGGTATAACATCTTCATATTTGGCTGGTAGCTTCCTCAGTAGGATCCTGACAAAGTTTGAGAGTGAAAATTACCTTGACCTTTTTCAAGGTTACAGGGGTCAAACACTTCAAGCGACTTCTTCGGAGGTACTGAAAGGTATAGATAATGTTTGGCTAATAACTTTTTAAGACTGTGCATGTCAAAGTTCGGAATTAAGATGTCTACTTTCAGGGTCACAGCGGTCAAATATGTCAAAAACATAACAAACAACTTCTTCTGAATAATCGAAAGGCATAGAATTATAATATTTGGCTGGTGGCTTAATTCTCAGCAAAGTTTGCAAATGAAAAGAACCTTAACCTACTTTAATTAAGTCACCCCTGCAATTTCAAAATGAACTATTCCATCCTTTGATCTGGAAGAGTTCAAATGTGTCTTCAGGGGTGAATGAGTTAAAGGTCACAGAGGTCAACAACATTTTAAACAATTTGTTCTGAAGAACCAAAAGCATTGGATTCATCAGATTTGGCGGGTAGCTTCTTGGGATAGAGCCAACAAAGTTGGAGATGGAAAATGACCTTGAATTACTTACAAGGTCACAGGGAAAAATATGTCAAACACTTCAAACAACTTCTGAAGAAGAAACAAAAAGCGTAGAATCATATAATTATATTTGACTGGTATAGTTTCAACTGATGGAGTCAACAATGTTTGCAAGTAAAATATTTGTTGTACAGTATGATATTTAATGAGAATATTTTGCTATGACTGCTTAAATATTCAGGTGAGCGATACAGGCCCTCTTGTTTTTCATTTGTATAACCAGTTAGTTAAATAAACATGCACATAATGAATTAAATTTTGCTAAATGCTATACAGTACATATGTTCCAGTGTTCTCCCCAGAATATTTTGAAAAAAGCATGGTATTTCAATATTTCTGTAAAAGCAGCACTCTATGTGAAATCAAAGCAGCATGGTTACTTTAGATTTACTATGAATATATAGCAGAGAAGATCTAGGATAGCAGCATGGCAAGAAATTATAGGAGCATGGTGCCATGCTGCACAAACAGCCTGGGGAGAACACTGTGTTCTTAGTATGTATAATGTATCATATACTTATATAATATAATTAATAAGGCCACATTCAGTCATCTCTCTACCCCCTCATGGGACCCTGTCTTGATATCTGGTATTATGGATAGAATTTGTATTGTGGCGGAAAATTTCTTATATATATATCGTCTATAATATTTCAGAATTCGATGCTGTGAAAACCTATTCACGGATTGTGTTCAACACACCAGACAAAGCAGCTTTAAAGGCTCAGGAGGAGACTGGAGAACTTACAGGACCCACAGTAAGTGTAGCTATTGTACAGCAAAACCTATCCCATCTGTTAACAAATTAAGTATAAATAACAGTGAATTAAGATTGACCCTGGAAACATTTATTAGTAAGTTATTTTTCAAAACAAGTGTGTTCCTATATTATCTCCTCGAGTAGCTTCTGAAAGCTAATGTTAATAGTGCTTCTATTAAAAAGTTAATAGAGATTCTGAAAGTGTCTAAGATATTTCAATATCTGTCTAATCAATAAGCTACATTATGATTCACAGCAGTTGGTCATCAGTTCAAAATCTTTTAGTTTTAATGTTTTTTTTCAATTACCATACAGGTTGACAGAAAATGTCCAAAATGTGAGCATGAAGGAATGGTGTATACTACCAGACAAACACGGTCAGCTGATGAAGGGCAGACCGTCTTCTTCTCTTGTCCAAACTGTAGGTATGTATTACTGTATCACTGGTAATCGACAGATATTCTTCTCCTGTACTTCCTTTATGTATAATATTTAATGGACAAATAATCCTTTCCCATCTGAACTACATGTAGGTATCTTTCAATAGAAGCAATCTGCTACTGATGAGAGACAGTGTGGTCCTGTGATAACTGTAGCCATAGCTTTATACCATTCAGACATTTTGTATTTACCCTTCAGATTCCAGGAGATTGAATATTCCTGACATCATTGGATTGCAGTGTTCCTATTACTGGTGGCAGTATCTACTACTGATGACCAGGAACTTATACCCAGAATTGTCCGACTGAAGTTCACACAAGGAACTGTATAAAGAAATAGTTCTATGGGACCTAGCTCCAAGTGACTGGAACAGATTACAGTAAAAGATGTTTCCAGCTCTGCCTTTGCAACAATACAGAAGGTGTGAGACCTACCTTGCATCAAAGGGCCATACAGAAATAAATGACAATGAAAACATTTTAAATACACATGGCATAGCAGTTTGCAATTATTCTTTGATAGATACAAAATTGTACAATTTATTTTTCAACATCTCCAATAACAAAACTTCTCCTTTGTACATTTTTTGGGTACCAGTATTAAATTAAAAATGTATTAATTCATATGTTTTCTTCTTTCATCATAAATAATGCATAATCAAAGCATTTCCACTAGTACTAACAGAACTGTTTGAACAAATAAACATTGAAATCTGTGCCATGGCAATATATTTTGTGGACGTTGTTGGTGAATGAATCACAAAAGAGTTGCGTTTGAAAAAAAATAAACATATGACCTGTATTCAAGTTTTTGAAATTTTATTTTCTGTTAGTTTGTAAATCAACATAACAATACAGTTTTACACACATTGTGTAGTTCTTTACTTGTCAGTACATTTTCTGTACTTTGTTAAAACAAATTATCTTCACACCTGCTGATGAGCAGTAAACATACTCTTATATTCACAATCTAAAACAGACAGGTACTTGTACAAAAAGTTTTGTGATTATTAGAATGCACAAAAGGTTTATTCATGTTTACTCGATGAAATGAAACTGACAACAAATAAACAACCAAGAGACAATGTACCAGATATAAAATAATGCTGAAGTCTGTGTTACTTCTCCTGTCAAACTAAATGTAGGTTTTATATGTAACTAGACAAGTCTACTTTTGAAAGAAGAAAATATGTTCAGTAATCTAATATAATCAAAATCATGTGAAATATTAATATTCACACTGTAAAATATAACTACCAATTTTGAAATCATAAGTCTCCCTTGTCAGTAATAAAAGTATTGAATGTTACAAAATAAAGTCTGGGCTATTAAACGTCAAAACTAAGTTTAAAATTTTCAATACTAGTAAATGTACTGAACCAGAACAAAAATGGAAAATCATGTGTTCAAACATACACTTTGATATTCATTATTTCACTATTTTAAAACTTTTGAGGATATAAAATTGGAGCGAATGCTCTATTATAACAAACATTGGCAAGAAGTTTATATAGTTTATACAACACTATTACAACTGTAACAGGGGAGAGAAATGAATGCCAAGACTGAGATTCAAACCCAGGACCCTCTGAACTCTAGATGGACGCTCTACTAATTGAGCTACATTGTACCTGGTCGCCGGCAATAGACCAAGATCAGTTCTACTACACTATTAAGAAGTTATTTTATATGATTTCATCCTGAGTTCAAAATAAAAATTGTTTATTTATCTTAAATATAACCAAATGTCAACGACTTTGTCCACCAACTTAAAATTATTTAAGGGATTTTTCTTTGACAAAGCATCTGCTACTTTACATATAAGTGTAGACAGATAAAAAAAATATGAGTACATCTCTTCAATTTTTCTGTTGGGAGTATTTTTTGATAGCCACACATACAGTATCAACTGATCTTGTGTTCAAATGCATACATATTACATTTATTGTATTACATTGATTTGAGATTCAGTTCATTTTTAACTTGAAATCATGCTTCATAAAAGCAACAGAAGGTTACTTGTTTTCTTTTTTCTACAAAACTGAGAAAAATAAAAAATAAAGAATGGAACAGATCAATTGAGACAAAAAAGAACCTGTTAAAATTAGCAGATCTTGCTGGTACTTAGAAAGAATATTTTGTTAACAGAATTATTTTGACTATCAAAGATATAGGAGCAACACAACACTTTTTATCATTGTATTTGACTAGAAAATAGAGAGCCAAAATTAAATTGGTTTAATGAATTAAGAAAATATATGGTATATGCTTTCCATAGTCAGTGACACTTAAAACTGTGTAAAGATTAAATACCTCCTTTCCATAGCAATCTGTGAGAGGAATAAGCAATATCAAACATTAATTGTTTAATAATTGATAATAAATTAAAATTAAAAAATAAATATAAGTTGCTTTAGCATGCATGTGGTTCTGTTTTACTCACTTTGAATTTTTGCCTTATGTAGATGGCTTCCTAACTAATATTATTTTATATTGTACTTTATTTCAGATACAGGAAAAAAAATGGGAAAAAGAATGATACGTGATGAAAATATTCTTAAAGAAAGCAAGATTAAAAGACGAAAAATACAACATGAACTATTGCATATATTTATGTTCAAGTAATGTAAAGTAGAAAAATTAAACAACCTATCCCAGGTTTAAATCTTCAAAAAATTCATATACACAGAATTATCACATTAAAAAGAATAATACAGAATACAAACATTTCACACCACATATACAGGTTCATGCAAAAATTACATGGCATTTTGATTCCTAATGCTAGGTTCCCTATAATGTGCGTTCTGTTACGAACACCACGACTGGTCATTCGTAGCTGATCAAGGAATTTCTCTGACATTTCAGGTTTGGAAACGAGGTGATGCGATACATTATGATACAATTTGTTGCGCTCCGATGCAATCTGGTCACGATTTGTCAATTTCAGGTGTCACGATCTGTCACGTTCTGATCTCCCGTTCAGATACAATCACATTCGATAGGATTGTTTCGATTGAGTCCATGATTGGGTCTCGATCTGATGACAAGATCATCATGATCAGGTTCTCCGAATACAAACGATCTGGTATGTGCAGATACGTTCATCACGAACCGATGTGCTCCCTTACGATATTGATGTGTTGAAATGAGTATCTATGGAGCAAAGGGTTATATATATAGGTGACACGTCAAATATCAAATTCCACACACCATTCAGTGTAACATCAAATACATATTCATGCAAACAGGTAAATAATAATATTTTATTTTTTATTTATTTTTTATTTTACTTTTTGTTGTCATAACATATTATTTTATTGAGAAGAAGTGAACAAAGGCTCTAAACATTACCAGTAAAGGCAGGTTACTAAGATGTGCTCCCTTTAAGAGTAGATCGCTGAATGAGACAAATTTAATTTTGTCCGGTATATACATGGGCACGAGAAATCGTAACAGAACGTGAGCGTTCGTGTAAAAACTTGTATCTACTCGCATTTACTCACACCTTCTTGTATCAACTCCTATCTGCTCGTGAGTCATTTGTGTCAGGTCTTGAGCAATGGGACTGGACAGAGCTTAACAGATCGTGGGAGATAGCAACACATCTCAACAGAGCGTGGTGTTTGTTGATCCCGATCACCACAATTTGGAAACATGATAAGATGCGATCTGTCACAATTTGTTACGATGCAATCGATCCGATATGATGATCCCAATTGACAAATAATCGTGTTGAGTGTAGAAAAATTTTGAACCGTTCAAAACGTTTCTATGATTAACACGACTGACCTCAAGATCTGATAGGATCACCACGATTAGTCCACAATTAAGACCAGGATTTCAATCATGCTGTGAATTGTGATAGTGGGAACCTAGCAACAGCTCATATAATTTTTGATGCTGAAATTTCAGTCTTATTGACAAAGCAAACTAAATGTACCAAGATTTACCTATGTGAAGTTTTTAGCAAAGACTGACACAAAATATTTCAATTAAAACTATAAATTATAAAAAAAAATTATAAAGATGTTTTTTCAAACTTTACTGTAAAAATCGTAAATAATTTACATTAAATGCCATTTTGTAAAAAATAATTAAAAAACAACCAGAAATACATATTATTCCATTAATTAAAACAACCTAATTAAACAATAAGCACTAAATCTCACAACACATAACTGGTTCTCACAACACTTAACAGGTTCTCACAACACTAAACTGGTATGGTATACCACTTATATAGTAAAAAATAGCTGATATCAAGTAATCTACATATCAAACTTCATATTAAAAAAGGTAATTCTTGACTCAGCAAACTTACATCAATGGCAATTATTTTACCCAGAATGCTAAAATGAACATATCTTATGGCCAATTTTTCTTAAGGAACTCAGCAACATGACATCAAATTTAAACACTGTTTCTAAGGATGCAAATCTAAATTTATCTTTCATTTCATTTAATGGTTGGCATTACGGTGGAATGGAACAAATTTCCTCATGATAAATGATTTGATTTAAAGGACAATAGTCAATGATTTTATGTTATACAATAACATGTTCAAATTTGATATGTAGTCCTAAACCTAATTGATAAACAAACTTGTTAACTTAATCATGAACAAACTTTTCAAGGGAATCAGAATGCTAAAAAAAACACCAAAAATCAAAACCAGTAATCTACCACAGACTATTATTTATATCATACTGCTTCTTCCTTCAGATCAAAGGTGTTGAAGATTTGCAGATGAAAAATCAGATTTCATGATTATTTAGGCATTTTCTGATTTTTTTTACAAAACATTACAACAAAAATAAAGTTTAAGAACCATTATGCCATATTTCTGTTAGAAAATAAATATTGCTATTAATGTCTAATCAAATAAAAGATATATGGGTCTAAAATTAAGATGATACTGGAAAAAAAATAGCACCATTTACACACCATATATAAACAGTAATCCATGTTTTTCATTTGATATCCACACAGACAAGTATGCTACATGTATTACATAACAATATACAGACTTCAATATTCTAAAGCTCTGCAGCTAATGAAGCTTATCAATGCCAGTGAAGACTAGAAATGATGGTGGCTGGATTAATAAGGATGAAGCAACATAACAATTTCTTTTATATGAGTTTTTTCACTTTCAGAGGCAACTGAAAGGAGTCTTTCTGGCTTAGAGTAACTTCCCCTGTAAAGGTTTTAGTATGTTGTGTGGCCCATAAATTGGACACTCGTTTTAATTCTGTGCCTGTGTAATCCTATATGGAAATATTGGTAAAGTGTAGACTTTGTAATGCAAAGGTCCTATAAGTTCATCAACCTTAGCTTATCTTTTTTTTTGTAATTGTATTTTCAATTATTTAAATTTCAAACAACTATCTTTCTGTAAAATGATTGGTAACATATGTGATATTTTGGAATATTCTTTTTGAAAAGACAAACAGATATCTCACAGAAGAGACAATGTCATAATATAGTTTAAGTTGTTGGTACCTTTACCTTAAAACAGAATTGCTTATTGTGGATTACTAAATTGTATTCACTTCTATGTGATCATCAATACAAAAATTCAAATTCAAAGATAGATATGCCATTAAGATTCAACATTCAAGTTTATTCACTTGAATATTTAAACAAATTGTCCATTCATTTTATATAAATAAAATAAAAGTACATAAGATGTTGAAACTTAACAAGTGATAAAGTATCCACATTGAGGAGTCTAAACCATTCCAGATACCACTTGACACTCTAAATTTATATATTGCAGTATAAATTCATGCAAAGGTAAGCTACACTATTTTTACATGTAATGTATCCATACAGTTCTGTCTTCATGAATTCTACATAAAGTGATACAAGCTTTACCCCACCTGATCGACAATACACTCTGATATCATAGTCTCTTTCACAGTAGACATTAGATATAGCCCCCCCCCCCCCCCCCCCCCAGTTATGGTGTGTGAAGCTTAAATTGCTGAATGGAGAGGTTTGTAATAGAATAACCCCTAAATGTATTTACTTAAAATTCAGCATATGTGATTACATATAATAAACAGTGTATACTATCACATTGTCTTTTCAAGCCAAATAACTCCTTCTATATCAAATCCAAATCAAATTTCACCATCACTTCCAATACGATACACTTTAATCTTTAAAGTGTTTAAGTGACAGAGAAGAATGCATTTACAAATAATGTACAGTCTTATTGATACATGTATTTATTAAGGTATATGATATTCATGCATCAGTATAATACTAAAAGTACTCGCCTATACTACTTGAGGTAGTCTAGAGTACTTTACAGTTATGCCAATAAGTCTGCTGAACTCAAATGTATCTATCCCTTAGTTTCATTCCGCAAAACATCCATCAAGATATTAAAAATGACTTTTAGGACCATCAGGTTGGACCTATTCGTCATGAAGGAAGAGAGAATTATACTTGATACATTAGGTCAATAGCACAAGAATCTGAGCTGTTTTTTCTAACAATACGTTTCACTATCTGCTGCCTGCTGAAGCAAAATCTAAAATTTGCTTCTAAGCTAGAAATTGTATTAAAATCTGAAATGCCGGTGTTGGATGTTTAGGTTGAGTACTACCCCAGTACATCCAGTCAAATGCACTCGCATATATTCCACATTTTTTCTATCAGTTCATCACTGTATTGAGCACACTCCACTAGACTTCTGGGATGGTTGAGATGCAGGAGATGGCGTGATGAAGGCCCGTCGTCTTTGGGCTGAAATTTTGGTAAGAAAATCAGAAATAAAGTAAACGTGTTTATAAGAAGACCCCAGGAAATAAGAGGTCTCTTTTGTAATCCTGCCCAGATGTGCTTATGTTTAGCTCTAACATAAATGTTATATATTGGTATACTAGTTTTAACTGGTTGAATCGAACACTTATTTAAATCAAATATTTTTCAAAACGTGAATCTGGCTTTACTGAATTCTTCATTCACCAGTTGAGTTGTTTTTTTCCCTTATTTTAATTTGAAAATAAATTTAACTGATAAGTGTCTGTTACATGATCAGTTTATTATAATCTTGAGTATACTTTATTCATTCTGCCTACCTGCCACAAAAACGTCTCTGTCAAATTTCCCTGAAGCAGGCTGCAAACTGTAATACAAATTGTGATTACAATGTCAGAAATGAAATTGCCTCATAAGGTTTTCTTTAATAATGTGTTAAAATTCCATCAAATATATTCTTATTTCTATTTACAATTAACAAATCATCTTTTTTCTTTCGGTTAAAATGTTCCATCAGATCACTAAATATATTCTTATTTCTATTTACAATTAACAAATCATCTTTTTTCTTTCAGTTAAAATGTTCCATCAGATATATTCTTATTTCTATCTATTGCTATTATTATTCGACTCATCATTAGGCCGATAGATATGCTATCTACAATACATTGTTGATAGAACATGTTCCTCATTTCACTTAATCAACATGGACTATTGTGTTTTAACCACAGTCTGATGGAAAAACTTAAGTCATCGAGGCAACCAATGGGAAACTAATTTCTATCCATTATCCATAGGCTTTATCTAAGTTATGCAAAATAGATACAAATTTCCCAAGAATCTTTTTCAAATGCTTTCTAAATGAATCTAAGACATTTCATGATAACTATTATATTCAAAAGTCACAAGCTTAAGCCTCAAGTGATCCATTCACAGCAAGAGTGTTTTCTTACAAAATATCATGTAACAATTTTCACTGAGGACAATGTAAATTTCTCCAGGTATTCCACTGGTAATGGTGTAACAGTCACTAACCTGTCCTTCCCAGGCTTGATTGCAGCTTCATAAACACCGTACACAGGCCGATGGTCGGACGCTCGGATGTTCATCACCGCGTCGTAGTGAACACAGTTAACTGTATTTTTTTTCTTGGAATGGTAGAGTATTCGATCCTGAAACCACCACCAACGAGACATGTTAAATTCTTGTTTTTATGATTAAAGTGTACATGTACATTTTTTCAACATACATACATGTATTTGAGAATTTTTTCTTCATTTTTTTTCTTCAAATCAATTCCATTTAATTCCCTAAAATAATTCTTGTAAATCTTTGGAACATCAAACTAGCGTGTAAGAACTTACCTGAGGCCACTTCAGCAGCGTGTAAGTTGCTACAAGTCAGACTAGGACACTAACCATCATGCCTTCACTGCTACATTTACTTACTGTATAGGAAGGTATCCGGAACTTCGGTGATGTATCATAAACATCAGAGTTCAAATCAAATTTGTATGTTGGTTTGAAGTTAATTCTTCCTTCTGTAAATCCCTGAAAGGCTTTGTCTAAAATCAAAATTCATAAAATATTTAGATAACATCACAGGAACACTTTAATGCTCTTTAACAAGCATGGACATTTGTATGTGTCTATAGTGACATTTTCACTTGAAAAACACTGAATGATTTAATCAATTAGATTGATATAACTTAGTACAACTGACTATAATTTTATCAAATAAGATCAATCTCAGAAGCGATATCACACCTTGGTATATACACTGTGCTAACTCATCCCCCTGTAGGAGGTCTTCAAAATTTGGGTGTTCTTGTTCTACAATAGCATGTACGAGATCTTCAACGGTGTGTCGTCCTTTCTCCAGACGGAAATTTAAATCTCCAAACCAGAAAACAGCATCAAACTTCGAACTGGCAGGTCCTATAAACAGATAGGAAAATGTTACATGACTTGAGTACAGGGATTAATCTTAAACATGTCAATGACCTAGGCATATTTCTTAAAATACTGCATAAAAAACATAAAAAGTTAATGAAACCCATATAAATATGGCATTTGATTTGAATGAGTATTGTTTTGATTTTCAGAAAAACATCTATACTTACTTTTTGAATATTAATTAAATTGGCTTGGTATGACTACTCAAGAATATCAGTTTTCTTTAATACATACAGATGCTTATATGCATAATTTAAATGTGACATATCCTACCTCGTTCAAAATATCTCATACCTTGTAAATTAGATTGGGATCCAGTTGCATTTCTCGGCAATTTCAATGTTGTGTTGATTTTTTGGTAATCATTTATTCTTTCTTTTAATTTTCCTGAATCAGCTGAAAAATATGAAGGAAAAATCAAAACCAAGAAAAAATCTTACCAGGTATAATCTACAATTTCCTGGAAACAAACAATGTCAGGAGAAATTTGGCAGTTTTAATTGTGAAATCAAAAATGCTATTTATATAAATGAATACAAAACACTATATAGCATAAACCTTGAAATAATAAAGTTTGATTATGTATTACTGCATTAAAATGATTTCATTTGAAACATAAAAAAAAAATCAAATTAATGTTACAGTAGTAATAAAGAATATACATTGTATGGCTTACATAAGACATTTATATGTAAGTAAAAATAGTTCAGCGCTAACTTGGTTACTCTAGGCTTATTACAGTGTACTTTGTTGTTGTTGTGAAGTATAATAACTACCTCAGATTCCATAATTTTGTTAAAAAAAATCTTTCACCCTATGACAAACATGAAAAGTGATATATATATATTCCATCACTTACTGTGAAGATATCACATTTTGTATGGACTGGCCAGAACTTTTTATTCAATGCGCTCATAGCTGCATATTCACTAGTTAGAAACAGATTAAGTGACATTTTGTTTTACCTTTTTTCCTACACACACCAAGATATTAAACTTTGTATCAAATGATAAGATTTTGTGATCAAATCTATAATCAAATAATATTATTAGGGAACAGTAGAATTGGACAGAGTGGCCTATTCAAAATGGTGCACATTCAGCCCTTTTGTCAAGCATAACATCATTAGAATATACAGGTAGCGCCAAATATATGTGATTAATCCCCCCCCCCCCCCCCCCCCCCCCCNACACAGACACACACACATTTTTGATGGAGTATCATTTGCATCCTAATAAATGTCGTTCTTTGAAAATGCAATTAAGAAAAAAATAGTTTCCCATTCAATACCACAATATATGTACATACTGGATACACTGTAGCAAAATGAATACTGACATTTTCACTTGTGCTTGCACTTAGGAAATATATCGATATTCTGCCATACACAAGATATATTATACCCAACAAGATACCATAAAATACCCTCTACTTAACAACTTAAACTAAACAATTAGTTTGACTAATAGTTTCCTAGTTCAAATGTATTCATGACAAATGAATAATTAACACACATTTAATTGACATATTGTCAGTTTAAGTGACAGCGTATTATACCAGACAAGCTTCAATGTAATATGTAAAGCATGTGGCTGTTTAATGTTTCTTGTTTAACTTGATGTGCACACTACAAAGCAAAGTGTGCTCCAGGTAAACCACTCCAGTACCTTCCTCGATATCCAGGGGTTATACTCACTTTCATTTTTTGCACCCCTGGAATATGTCAAACAGTCATGATAAAATATAGGCTAGCTAATTGATTGATTTCAGGTAATAAAATATGATCAATTACTAGGCTGGTATATACTTGTCCTTAGAAGATTACAGAGCAGCAACACCTGATTTCAAAGCCCAATGATTTTATTGTTATGTTACCATGCAATTCTTTTGATTAATATCAAAGGATAAAGTAGTCTACTTGTATCATCTACAAGGATGCAGCTACGTATACACAGACTTCATTTTTTTCACAACATATTCCAGGGGTGCAGAAACCAAAGTAAACGTAACCCCTGGACTCTCAAGGATGCTCTAGTGCAGGGCAACAATAAATTTAGGAGGAAGTATCAGATCAAGGTATCCAAAGTATTAATGAGCAAGCACTGTATATAGACAACAAGTAAACACCTACAAATACAGGGTCAACACACAACTAACAAGGAGTTGTAACAGGATTAAATGTCGGGGATTGATTCAGTTATAAGGAGTCAGAGGTTAGTCTTAGGAGGATAACAATAATGTAAAAAAAATACTGACTAGATGTCTGATTTGACCGGTTAGCTATACAAATAATGAAAAGACAAGTGTCACTATACCTGGTAGATCAAAGTATCACAAGTCCACATATACAGTACTAGTACTGGTATAGCAAAGGTATAGATCAAAGTATCACCAGTACACATACAGTACTTGTACTGTTATATATACCAAAGGTATAGATCAAAGCACCACCAATCCACATACAGTACTAGTACTAGTATATAAACCAAAGGTATAGATCAATTTAGCATCACCAGAACACATACAGTACTAGTACTAGTATATAAACCAAAGGTATAGATCAATTTAGCATCACCAGTACACATACAGTATTAGTACTGGTATACCAAAGATATAGATCAAAGTATCACCAATACACATACAGTACTAGGACTGGTATACCAAAGGTATATATCAAAGCATCACCAATACACGGAGAGTACTAGTACTGGTATACCAAGGGTATAGATCAAAGCATCACCAATACACGGAGAGTACTAGTACTGGTATACGAAAGGTATAGATCAAAGTATCACAAGTGTCACTATACCTGGTAGATCAAAGTATCACAAGTCCACATATACAGTACTAGTACTGGTGTATATACCAAAGGTATAGATAAAACCATCATCAATACACATACAGTACTAGGACTGGTATACCAAAGGTATCTATCAAAGCATCACCAGTACACTTACAGTACTAGTACTGGTAGACCAAAGGTATAGATCAAAACCACACCAATACACATACAGTACTTGTACTGTTATATATACCAAAGGTATAAATCAAAGCATCACCAATACACATACAGTACTAGGACTGGTATACCAAAGGTATAGATCGAAGTATCACCAGTACACATACAGTATTAGTACTGGTATACCAAAGATATAGATCAAAGCATCACCAGTACACTTACAGTACTAGTACTGGTAGACCAAAGGTATAGATCAAAACAACACCAGTACACATACAGTATTAGTACTGGTATACCAAAGATATAGATCAAAGTATCACCAATACACATACAGTACTTGTACTGTTATATATACCAAAGGAATAGATCAAACAAACACCCGTACACATACAGTACTAGTTCTGGTATACCAAAGGTATAAATCAAAGCATCACCAATACACGGAGAGTACTAGTACTGGTATACTAAAGGTTATTAATAGATCAAAACATCACCAGTACACATACAGTATTAGTACTGGTATACCAAAGGGACAGAGCAAAACATCACCAATACACATACAGTACTTGTACTGTTATATATACCAAAGGAATAGATCAAAGTATCACCAATACACATACAGTACTTGTACTGGTATATATACCAAAGGAATAGATCAAAGTATCACCAATACACATACAGTACTTGTACTGTTATATATACCAAAGGTATAGATAAAACCATCATCAATACACATACAGTACTAGTACTAGTATATAAACCAAAGGTATAGATCAATTTAGCATCACCAGAACACATACAGTACTAGTACTGGCATACCAAAGGTATAGATCAAAGTCTCCCCAGTATACATACAGTACTAGTTCTGGTATACCAAAGGTATATATCAAAGCATCACCAGTACACATACAGTACGAGTACTGGTATACCAAAGGAATAGATCAAACAAACACCCGTACACATACAGTACTAGTACTGGTATAGCATAGGTATAGATCAACGCATCACCAATACACATATAGTACTAGTACTGGTATACTAAAGGTTATTAATAGATCAAAACATCACCAATACACATACAATACTAGTACTGGTATATATACCAAAGGTATCTATCAAAGCAACACCAGTACCCATACAGTACTAGTACTGGTGTATATACCAAAGGTATAGATCGAAGTATCACCAGTACACATACCGTACTAGTACTGGTATACCACAGGTATAGATCAAAACAACACCAATACACATAAAGTACTAGTACTGGTATACTAAAGGTTATTAATAGATCAAAACATCACCAGTACACATACAGTACTAGAACTGGTATACCAAAGGTAAAAACCTGGATTCCGTAAAATTACATAAGTGATATATATATATATATATATATAGTACCAACTTTAAAAAAAATATCTGACTATCAAAACCAAGATTAAATAAAATATTAAACATCGCTCTATGGTTTAATATTGTGCATTGTCAGTAAGTATAAGTACATATATGTACTAGCAAAATATATGTGTACAGTCGGCACTGTATTGTTGAAAATGTTTTAATCATAAGCCAGCTTAGAAGACATACATATTAAATAACTATTTAATATCGCATTAAGATATAATCATTAACCAGCCTTTTTGTAAACAACAATATTTTACTGTATTGTGATAACTCTCTCTAGCTTGACTCAAAGAAATCAGAAAAGTGCAGTACCACAGATATCAAAAAAGAAAGTGTTGCTAAGTATACTCTAAGATAAGGCTATTTTAGTAATACATCTCTTCCACCCTTAGGCACTCCAGGTTTTATTTAAAGTTATCATCTAATGGCATTCATAGAATTTCATTATCAATTTGCATAGAAGACAATTGCAGCAGACTTAACCATGTACAAAATTGATATGCATGTATTTTGGAATCCTGTGGTTGGGTAGAGTTTTTACTGAAATAGCCCAACATGTGTTCCTGAGATATCAACCCATTCTACATAGAAGTAATAGTTGTAAGAAAAACAATCAGGTTTAAAATTATGGTGCAGAGAAATAGTTGAAAGATTTGTAAGTCAACTAATTATTAATGATCACAAAATTTGACTAATAGCACAAAAAGTCAACAACAGACATGTTTAATTAAGTTTGACTGTGGATAACTTTGAAGTCACTTTTAAATACATTAATTATATTTGTGTAAGATTTAAAAGAAAAGAAAAAACAAAACGGTCGAATTACTTATTTTAGCAGACCCAAAATTTAGCGCATTCTCGAATTTTAACGAATTGATAAGGGCCTTGATAACAAAGGTGCACTTAGTTAGGGCTATTCCAGTTAAAAATGTCACCCACTAGCAGACATATCCTTTTTTCAAAGGGGTACCACCAACAGAAGCACTTTCTTTCAGATTGCCAGATGGAACAGAAGTGTTTTCTTCCTTTAGAACACCACTCATGGAAGCAATTTTTTTAAGTCAATGAGACAACCACCCACAGAAGTGATTTTTTAATCGATAAAGCAACCACCCACAGTACTCCTATAACATAAGAGGCCGCTGGTCGGCCTATTTTCTATCGGATATGATTTGGCCGACTTAGACCTTTTATTTCGGAAGCACTTATTCTTTGATGCAGATTCTGCCCGAAATCCGTGCAGAACAAAATTGGCTTAAAAAACTTACTTAAGTGGTTCACAGTTCATGACAACGATGTCTACTCATGGTTCATATAATATTTATCCCATATGTATGCCACAGATACAAATGTATAGTATATTACGGAATAGAACACTCAAAATGCATGTCCATGTCGTTGTATCACTTCTCTGACCTACTTTTACAACATGGTTTCTTGGGTTGATACAAAATAGCAGAGGGGGTTTCAAACGTGTTTTTTTTGTTTGTATTCCGTTTGTAGAACATTGCATGTAATCCATTACATCCGTTATATTAACTGGGAAATCACGACCAATGCTGTCTGCTTCACTTCGAGCTCACTTCAACTTTGACACGAAATTCCTCATTTAATCATGAATTTATGGAAAGGAATATTTATTGGACCCTGTTCCCATTTTGGCTCTGCTCGAACTCTCGTATTTCAGGATTTAGAGTTGCCTCCCCTATACAGCACGGAACGGCAAAAAAGAACACGGACAATATTGTACATTAAGCCTACCTGATTACTTTGAAAGAAAAACATGAACGCATAATATGTTCTGGCATCATAGCACAGAAGCGATCTATTTCACAAAACATGACACAGAATATTTTTTTTATATTTTCAGTAATTGCTACCAGGAACAGAAGTGATTTTTTTCATTTTATGACATATGATTTTCTGTCAACTCCCACCTGGAATAGAAGTTTTTTTCATGAATGTCCGCTAGTGGGTGACATTTTTAACTGGAATAGCCTGTAGTATATATATATACAATTGAACTATATACAGAAACTTCAATTAGCACAATCATAATCATAAACTAGGGCCATTTTTAAAATGCGAAAAGTGCTAAAATAAGAATACTACTAAAATATGTATGTTCACAGTATTACAGCTCATAGAAAAATTAACAGATTCCAGACATCAATGAATGAGTCTTAAAATGGTTTTTAAAAAGTCAAAATATGTATTTGATAATAGGAAAAGTATAGATACTTGTGTTGAGTGGAATGTTACTACAGATCTAGAGACCAGATACGTTAGAATCAACTAAATATTTAAATAAGATTCTTACAGTGAGTACTTCTGTTTGCTAGAAAACAATTGATTACACTCAATTTATTGATATGAAATATCAACTATATCAGTATTTCAAATTCTAACAAATAGTTATAAAGTTTTGCTTCACAAGAAACAAGAAAGTACTACAGGGCTGAACATCATTTTTTTAGTTGATTGGTAACTGCATGAAGGACCATTAATCATAAAAATCTGATACTGTAGTGTGTCCCCCAATACTTGTTGCAAATTGATAAAAAAAAATATGTAGAATCACATCAATATTTTTACTAAAAGCCAGGTAGGTTTGCAAGTAAACATGGTTGAATTTGTCCAGCCCTACACATTAACCCTTTCACCACTGTAGACCATAATGGACTCATCAAGATCAATGCATGGTAGATTCTACTAAAGTTACATTGGGGTGAAAGGGTCATGCAATTCATATACATGTATATCATCATTTATTACAGATCCTGAATATCCCTTACATTGTTTGATATAATTTCAGAATTTCGGTACGTAAATATGACCAAGATTGAAGCTACATGATAAGATAAAAACAACTGACATTTTGGTCTTTGTATGATTTAGCTTCATGTACTGTCATATACATGACAGGTTTTTTTGTATGTCTTAATCATTCAGTTTTCATGTTGAGTGACAATTTATGAGGTTGAAACAAGTCATACATGTGTTAAAACAGGAAGTGACCTTGAACTTTGGACCTTGAAACATTAATCTCATTCTTGACCACTGTAAAAAGTTTGATCAAAATCCATTGAAAATAGAAACATGTGTGTATATACCGCAGTTATGAACTATACACATCACAATACATCCCTTCAATGACCTTGTAGCATGGGGAAACTAACAAGGATTGACTGTTTCCATACTTAAAGGAATTTAGATTTTGAAGATAAATGCTAAAATTGAAAAAAAAAGGTGAATAGATTGAATATTGTTCAGAACATGCATACTGATATAATATAACTAAAATAAATACTTACATGCAAAATGTGAATTGATAAAGAGAAATGAAGATCCGAAGAATGAAAATGATACAGCAACAGCACCCTTGGTCTTTACCATGGTGACAGCCCTTGTCGTTACCTGGTCTTCATCTGCATCTGTTAACATCAACAAATGACCGTAACTATTTGTATGAACTCTGCTTTAAAAAATACTCATCACCATGTTATTATATCAAATATGAAACATTTCGTTACATTTAATATTGCAGATCATGTTTCTTTATAACAGTGATAATACCATATAATAATATAACGGTTAAACACGTTCCTAAAATGTAGGAGTATTTCAATAAAAGGATAATAAACCTTTGGAACTCTATGCCACATACAATTGTTAAACCTTATCAAGAATCAAAACAGTTGAATGGTGATTGAATATACACACTGGGGCCAACCTAAATACTTATAATAACCACAAGATTGGGAATAAACTTATTTATAGTCAGGCTGTCAGCATATATAGGGACTGATGATAACATTTGTCTGGATATATATACAAGCATACTGCCTGCATCCAGTATTATCATTCCTATACCATATAATATACACGTAGTAGTAGTTTAAACTTCTCTAAAACGTTAAAGCATTAACATATGTATTGTGTAATATAACATAACATTTCATACTTCATACATTCATTTGTGTGAATAAAAGATAGAAAGCAAAATGCACCACTTGAGAGAATCAATTGTTTTGTATAGATGATGAAATTTATGAAAATAGACATTAAAATTTTCATTTGAGGAAACTACCTGAACAGAACCAGATGAGATCCCTGCGTATGAAGATGGCAAGATGGAGTGACCCATGTGTGGCAGAGTAGAAGAGTACATGGGAGGTACCTAGTGTGGTCTGTATAATCACCTCCCATTCCTTCCTGTATACACAAATTAAACATTTTCTCATTACTTCGCGAACACACAAATTAAACATTTTCTCATTATATTTCTACAAAAAAAAAAAAAAAAATCTCATTACATTTGTACAAACAATTTGAACATTGTCTCTCATTCTCTACACACAATTTAAACAATGTCTCATTCTCTACACACAAATTAAACATTTTCTCATTACATTTGTACAAACAAATTAAACAGTGTTTCATTCTCTACACAGAAATTAAACAGTGTTTCATTCTCTAAACACAAATAAAACATTGTCTCATTCTCTATACACAAATTTAACATTTTCTCATTTAATAGTGCCATGCTCATAATGCCCTGACATTCCGATACTCGTTGTTCAGTACTATACTGTTTACAGTAGGAGGATTTTGCTGGAGTATTTCGCAAATTGCCATGGCCATCTTCTTTAAGCTTAGAAAATCAACAACATATCAAAATATCTACATAAACTATTCTCTCTAACCCATTCCCAAGGGGGAATTGGTGACAATAGGATAATGAAAGTTACACTTTTGATCAATCATTTTTGGATCCTCCTCCATAAAGAGCATTTAATTTTAGCATATCAGGGTCTGAACAATATTGTTTACTGATTTTCAAAAGAAGATTTTTGAATGGTGTATTGCAACCTAATTACCAATTGAGAGACCACCTCCTGCTTCTATATATCATTATTATTAGTGCCCAAAACATATCTGACACCTTTTCCTTAGTGACCTATTTATCATTTATTATCTCAACTCACCATAAAATATGGTATTTGTGTTCTATGTCAGTATCAAATTGGAGGAAAAGAATAGACACCATTTAACAGATGCAAAATCAGTCTGTGTCCTGATTGTTTGATTGTGGGGTATTGCACTGACATCTTTGCTATATATGCTATAAGCTGTGAAGGAGATGTATCCACAAGGTCCAAACATTGCAAGGGACACCAAATATATGAAATATGAGACTTATAAATAGGATATCAACATTATTGCATGCTAGCCTGAGGACATGAATTTTAAAATAGCAAACACAGAGAGATGATATTTACTTGTTCATGTTGTTTTCCTGTGTTCCAATTGCATAGAGGTCCTGTACAAAGTCACTGGCTTCTGGCAGTAGGAAGTCCTGCAAACTGGCTTTGAATTCCTATACAGATACATCAAAAACTATAAATTATGGAATTATTCAAGAAAATCATTTGAACAAAATTGTTTGTTAATTACAGCTGTAACAAGTTTCCCAAAATCCATATATATCATAGAGTCATAGAGTTGAATTGTTAAAATGGGTTTTCCATTTACATCAAACAGTAAAATAAAATTATAACAAAGCCCAGCAGCTCCAAATAATACGTTCATTACAAGGAATATTAAATACTGTCTGCTGGGAAATTTTAGCTGCAATCTCATTTTTGTCTTTTGTCTTCTGGAATGAGAGAAAACTTATGACAGCAAAAATGATATGTGAAGAGCGAAAAATGAAAATTGTCGAAAAGACAAATACAGTTTCTACTAATATTTGACAGGGCTACAAAATGTAAATGTTCCCAGTTAACAGTTTTATTATACCGAAAAATGACCATACTGTGCTAGCTACCAGGTAAAGGGAGTTCACTATAAGCACTGGATAGGGGTTTACTATGAATATTTGGGAATCACTATTCATGTACTAAGAAGGAGGTTCACTTTTCTATAAGATGGAGTTAGACTGTACGTAGGGCAAATGGGTTCAGCAATGACTTTACCTTGATATCACCCATGTTCCAGCTTCCTATCCACACCTTGATCCGTCGCTCTGGTAAGTATCGGTCAAGTTCAGCAGCACCCATCAAACTGGATGTGACACTAGCATTGCCACTCCCGGTTCTTAAGGAAATATGTTATATAGAATATAGATGTTCGGTAGGTGCATAGAATTTCTCAAGAAGTAATATTTGTTATAAGCTATATGATAATTGCATATTGCAATTTAAATGTGAGATTTTACAGCTACAATGTTCATCAATGGAGAAAACATATTACATCATTTCATATAGATACTTCTGAGAAAATAATTGTCTTTACTGGATATACACGTACATGTGTATGCTATCAAAATGCTTTTATATGTCAAACCCATGTTCAAATAAATATAGATTAAGTACCAGCTAAATTATATATATATGTATACATAATATGAAAAGAAAATTTCCTAATCACCAGTACTGTCTATTACCTTGCTCGAGCCTCTGTGATAGGGATTTGGTAGAGAATCCCTGATGACGACATAGATCGTTGAGACATTGTGTCAAATGGTGGATGTACTGGAGGTTTGTGAAAGGGGCTGCCTGAGGCTCCTGGAGAGCTAGGCACACTCTCAAGGTACTTATTGAGTGTATAGGATGAATCAGTTTTGTAGGCAGTTTTCAGTGTGTGTGATGAAATATCTCCAGATATTGGCGGCGGGTGATTCTTTGATACAATCGGCGCTAATCTCCCAGTACGTGGAAGGGAATCACTGCTTAAAATATCATGGTACCTGTTGTTGATGTCTTTTAAATCTGCTTCTGAATCTATTGTTAAATTGGGATCACCTCTTGGTGAAGGCACTTTTTTATCGTTTTTCTTTTTATCTGGCACAAAAACTTCGTCCGTCGTGCTTTTTAAATCTGTTTGTGAACACGATTGCTTTTTAGATTTCACTCCTACCTCCGGTTCCTCACCTGAAGAGTTTGGATCACGAAATCTTTTCTCACCTTTTTGTTTGACACCTTTTAAGCTTACATTTTTATCACTTTCAGGTGTAGATGTCGGTGTTTTGCTAGAGCTACTTTTCTGCTCTGAGCGTGGTGTAGATGGAGGTTTTGGTGCAAATGGACTATTTCTTAATGACTCAACTGAATTGGTTCTCTCATTAGTTGCCATTTTCAAGGCCCTAAACCGATGTATTGTGGCATCAGAAGGTGCCTTTTTGCTAATTCCATCTTGTTTATCATCATCACTTTCAGAATCAATGTCCATAGGAGGAGGAGGAGATAACTCCTCTGGTTTAACCACACTCTCACTTTTTTTATCCCTTGGTTTTGGAGTAGATTTAGTATTGTCCTTATTGACAGAACTATCAGGATATTTTTCAATCACAGTTCCTTTATCAGATGTTGCATTGGCATTTTGGCTTTTAGCGACATCGTTATTGCTGTTGGAGTTAGATTCTTTTTTACTGAGTTCGGATTCTGTCCCTTTGGTTTCAGTTAATCGACTTGCATTGGACTGAAGTGAGTATGTAGAACCAAATTCACTTCCACTCTCATTGTTGCGTCTTTTTTCTGTAAGTTTTGAAATTGCACTACGTTTTTTTCTCCCTTTTTGAGGGACAGCTGCAGATGTACTTGTTTCTATTGGAGGTTTCTTACTGTTTTGGTCTAGTGTAGTAATTTCCACTTCCATCTTGTTTCCATGATAAATCAACAGAATTAAAAAACACACACACACATTTTCCTGGCAAAGTTTCCATGGAACCTGGACGTACGAGAAAAAGATAAAAGAATCAGTAGTAAGTAATTAATCCAAATTCTTATTCAATAAAATTTAACTCTTATTTCATTTTCAGATTAGTATATGAGAGATGCTTATGAGAACAAATTAAAGCTAACTATTATTTTGTCAAACTATTCATCCTATGTCCCTGCATGAAAGTCAAATAGGGCTGTCACGAGTTCACAACATGAGAAAACAATATTTTGCATAATATAAAGGTAATTATATATATCTTATTGCAAGGCAAAAACTAAATACTGTTGTATCGCAATATTTTTCAAAAGCTCATTTTTTATGTCTCTGATTTAACTTTGCAAACAACTACACATTCCAACAGAAATGCTATTAACCATAAGTAGGCTATATATATCACTTGTGGTGTGAATCACCTAAAATTTCCTAATTGATGGTTGGTATTTAATCTGTCTGATCCATATGATATATATGATCTAGTTTGATAAACTGACAATACTTTTTTCTAAATAAGGCATCTTATTGCTATTTGGATATGCTAAGCGTATTGTGACACCCCTAGTGTCAATGTAACACAGGTCTTTTTTTTCTCAGGGGAGCAAACCGCGAATTCAGTTCGTTTCGGTACTTCTGAGAGTCGTTTCGGTACCTCTGAAAATCGTTTAAGTACTTATGGAAAACACATTTTGGTACCAAGTTATAGTCAACATCACCATTATTTCAATAATTTCTAAGTATAGCGGGACATATATATAACATGTATATATAATGTATTGATAATAATCAATTAAGAATAATAATAAGAAAACACATGACAATAACGATAGGTATTTCCATCCAAAATAGAACGCCATCACACTGAATACACGTATCAGCCGAAGACATGATGAGTTTTTTGATAAATTTGATAGTGGAACCCTCATTTTTATGACAAGTTGGTGAATTCCCTCAACGTTGAGTTTCTCCTAAAGAGCTTCTCCAAGCTACTCAGCTGCTCAGTTAAAAAAGCAAATGTTAAATAAACAACCATCGCGTATGTTGTGGGATCACGTTTGAAGTACGAAAACAATGATTGACCGATCTGCGTGATTGTTTAAGCAACTACGAAAGCAAACGTTAAATAAACAACCAACAATAAATAACAAATGAGAAATATTTATTAACTAATAAAGGAAGTACCGAAACAATAGTCAAAATTGTTGAAGTACCGAAACAACTTAAATACAAGTACCGAAACGACTTACAAAAAGTACCGAAACATCTTCTTTTTGAAGTACCGAAACGACTGTACCCCCAAACCGCAGCTAAAGAGAAATTCTACCTAGCAGTGTGGATTGGCAAAGCATGCAGCTAGTTATTTACTATAAGGTGACATTCTGTCAGTATCTAGCATGCTCATTGCTGTCTGTACAGTGCGCAAAGATTCAAAGTTTGAATCCCAAACTGACACTGGCATTTTCTCCATCACAATTTTGTGTCCCTAATCTTTTTATGCAAGTATACAGTGCGAGTTCACACTGTAAGGTGAGCTTTGCAATTACACTGTGTATATCGGAACCTGGTGAAACAGCTTCAAAGTCTTCAGAAAAAGAGAGAATATAATCTAGCTTCATCTGGCACAGTGTTATATGCCTAGTGTAATGCATCTTAACCATGTCCATCACCAGTGCCACCAGATGTTATAGTATTAGATTATTATTGTAAAAGAGTATTATTTTAAGCAAAAATACTGTACCTTTCACTATGAAATAATGAACACATAGTGATCTTTCACAACTTCTACGATAGTACTGTACTTCTCTGCGTAAACCACTTGAACATTTACTTTTAATATTCAGAACTGATTGCCTGTTTCCATGTGTATGAACTGCCAAAGACTGACAACAATCGATGTAAACAACTGAACAAAACAAACTTTCTAGAAAAAAGCCCCGTAATGATTAACATTAATGAGTAATGAAATCTCTCCGCCTAGCCACTGTCAAAACAAAAATAATCGCAAAACAGATACGAATATTGTTATGCTTAGCAACTCATTGCAAATGTATTTTCTGCTCAAATGGGGACTTTAGTCTTTAGCATATTTGTTTGCTTTTTCACAACTCCAACAGCCATCCAAATGCAATGAAACTTACCTGGTCGATTTAGTATATAACTTGAAATTTCCGAAACTTTTCAGTCAGAATGCGATGGTTGGTGTTTTGTTCGTCCATGTTGGAATTTTATGAAGCCACGCATGCGCAGTAGTAAACAATAAATCGGCGTCTCTCTAGAACTTATTTAGGCGTACGTTGAGTTTGATTCAAGCGTTTCCCAGTTGTAGCTAATGCTTCAATGTCGCAAATATAAATGCACAGACACATATATTTTTAATCTAAAATTTTTGAAACATATGGCTTATTTAAAATGATTGATATGAAAATTTGAACGTGAATATTTTTAGCTGTCTTTAACTGTGTGTTATTTGTGTAATTGGAAGTCGCAAACAAGAGGCACCCAGAGCAGGTGCTTTTGATTTTGTCGTCACCTTGTGCTTAATTAAATAATGTAATGCTTTTGTTTCATTGTTTGGAAATAACTCTAATACAAAGATGTTTTATATGTTAATTGGTGACATTTTAGTTTGCTTCCATAATTTTACTTTCTTTTGATTGCATTATTTGTATTTGGCTGTTAACATTTCCCCTACGCTGGGCCTCAGGTGGAGTGTGACAGGTAATGCTTGATTAAGCTGACTGCTTACCAACACGAATTGTTTGACAATGGAGGACGGGCTGAGCTATAACAGGGCGAAACGTGAATGTTCGAAGAGTTTTGTAGAGACATCGTAAGCAAGCACATGCAAGTTGTCAATAATTCTAAATGACCATTTCTTTGCACGCTGATGTCATGACAGCAGATGAAAAGCCAGAATCCAGCCATGAATATAATTTTTTTCTCGATAGACAACTTCAGAACAAACTTTTGGATTTCGACGAACAGGATATAGACTCTAGATATTTTCAAAATGTCAAACTTGACGGGAAGTCTTATAAAGCTCAGGTTCGAAACGAGGAGGTTACGGGATGGATTTATGATCCAAAAAATAATTTCAGAAAACCTGAAAAAGAAAATAGTAAACAACAAAAAGAATTTATTCAACCCTGGAAAGACTACAAGGCAAGACAACAAAAAGATGATTCGTTCATGTTTAGACATTATGGGGATCTGAAGAAATATATTCAACAATATCGGCAAGAGCATTCATATGCAAATGGATTTCGCCCTCCCGGGATGACAAAGTCGGATGTTCCCATTGGGGAGCTCCGGAAATATCTTCATCACCATTCTGCTCCAACCCCAAGTGCTGGTGCTATACAAAATCAAATCTCAACACAAAGTCAGTCTTCAACACAGACTCAGGTTTCAACGGTTTGTACGCAATGTACAAATACTAATGGCAGTAATCAACAGTTAATAACTGCCTCCATGTACTATACAAATCGGAAGGATAGTTTAGTTTCTCTACCTAACGGTGCTTCTGTCAGTAACCCTCGTACATCTAGCAATCACAGTCACGGACATCAGTGTAGCAAACACAATCATGTTCATATTAATCCGGATCATGCTTACAAGTATAAACTAGCCCCTGATGCTGCATGGCGTTCAGATTCTGTTCAATCTTCATGTGTAGAATCAGATCGTAATGAGGGTGTGAGAACTCCAAGAATAAACTCAGCAAAAGGGGATAGAGGGAAATCTCCTACAAAAGTCATGGTTCCTGCTGGTGCTTCAAATGGACCCCAAAAAGGCCATCCTTTACAAACTGTCACAGTGTAAGTATCATATTCAATAAAGGCATTTATTAATTGAGGTGTACATGAAATCTAAAAATTACTGAAAGGGAAAATAGTCTAGATTTGCAGGAAATTATAAACATATCTGAATGTCGCTGATTTAATATGAAAACTTACACATAAAATATGCATATCTTAATACATCATTTGTTCCCACATTTTTGATTCACCTATAAAATCCATCTTAAATATAAATTCTTTAGTATAATGTTGACCAGCATCATCATTACGGTAGGTACCAGTATTTTAATTGAGCTCTCTCTATTTTACACTCTTTACATGTACATGTTTTGACAAAACATTCAAGAAATATAATCTAATCTAATTAATTAAGAGTGTGTTGGTCTGAGTATACAATATATATATATGAAACCTCTAAGATTTGTAACTGAATACATTGTACAGCCAATCAACTTTCTACTATAATTATATGTCTCCTTCCTTATCTTGGTAGAACTGAAGCCTAAATCCCCGTTAGAGCAGCCAATGACATTACCAGAAGGTTGTTGTAGCATTTAATGTGACATCTTGTCTGGGCTAAAGCTTTAAACCATCAAAGAAATCTTGATGAAATTTGAAGTATACATGCAATGCCTGCAGATGGTATGCAGTGCACTAAACTAAGGTTATGGTGGCCTTGACCTCAAGGTCAAAGGTCAAATAAATGCTTAATTTCTTGTGAAATCTTGCCTGGGTTGTATAAAGTATCTTTAGGAAACTTGAAAGGGAAGGTGTGATTCTTGCTGATGGTGTGTGCTGTATTTAAGTCACCATAACCTTCACCTCAAGGTCAATGGTAAAATATAAGAAAACATGCATGTGACTATATCATAGGGGAGTCCATGTTTTTCATCTAGTTTAGAAGATGGTAGGGTATCACCAAGTTCAGTAGGAACTTGTTAGAAGTCAGTTCAGAGATCAAATATGGCCATGTAGTCTTTGAGAATCTGAAAAGTACATGTGTATCGAGATCTCTGTCTCAATTGATAACAGTACAGTGAATTGATCTTGATACTCTGTCTCATTTGGTTACAGTGTATTACATTGCTTATACCGATAGTACAATATGTAAATGACAAGTCCATGCAAACTCCAACGTTTTGGCAAATCATTTTCCCAAAAATTTATAATATTGATGATTATGAAAACTTGCGTCCTGTTTCTAATTGTAAAATGATCCATGCAGTATTTATCATTTAATTCTATAATGGCCCTATTAGGAATGAATTATTTGTTCACTTTAAATAAAAAGGGAAAACTCTCAAAGATCACATTCAAATTGTAAACCTATTGAATTATTTTTATCAATGCATTTCTTTTTAGTTGTGAATGTTTGATTAACAACACGTTTCTCAGCATGGGATATTTACTCTAGACTGTGTACAATGGTCTGTATATTGATCTAGAACTTATGTCCTTAATTTACACGTCACTGATAGTAACCCTATTATTTTTATATTGATTAAGCATCTCATCTCAATAAATTGTTGTATATCCAGCCTCTTTTTTTCAATACAGGGTTTATATACAATATAGTTATCAAATATTACATCAAAGAATTCATATACACTTTGACATTTTCGCCAGTATTTGTCAATATGAAGATATATGACTTTTGTTATTAACCATTAGAACAGTTCTTTCAAAACCTCCAGAAATTCTGTTCAGACGCATGACTAAGAAACAGCAGATTTGAACATTTTTATTTAACTGAATCATTCAAAATGGCACAATTGTACACAACCTTGTACATAGTAGTCAAATGTGACATTGGGATTATCCTCAGCACCAAAGATAATGATATAAAGCTTTGTGTAATATTCACGGGCCTTTTTTTATGTATGCATGCGTTAACATTTTACTTCTTTGAAAAACTATATATTGCAAAATTAATGAATTGCACTTTTTCACTTGAATTGCAGAGTTCATATAGATATATAGATTTGTATTCCTGCTTTGAACTCATGAGACATATATGATATTCAACATGAACCCCTACCTGTAAATATTCTCTTATATATACATTGCATTAAGGATTCGTATGTATTTCATTAGAGGATTTGTTTCCTGGTACCCAAGTCGGCTGTGATAAAGTGTGAACATTTTCTATACACAACACTATGGGTTGCCATTCATGGATTAATTGTTAAACTTTTCAATTATGTATGACTTCAAATTCTTGATAAAAAATTTCAGGAAGGTATTGTAAATGAGAATAAATTCCATACCACTTTGGAAACTTCACAGTTTTGGAATCCGAAGGATTTCTTTTTTCAAGATAGCATTTATGTGATTTAAATGTAAGTGAATCAGAGTGTAATTTGTCTAGATTAGCTGTGAAATAATGAGAAGGTTACAGATTTATTACTTCACCGGCATTACCAAACCTAGGAGACGTGTCAGAGGAGCAGTGTCAAAGCGGAAAACATTACATTGTTAACTTACCCTATATTTACCGGACTGTAAGCCCATCTGTGGTACCTAGCCCACCCATGCTTCATAGCTAGAAACCTCATGTTCTGGTCCTTACATTAACCTTAAACCTTACAATACACCCATCCCAAACCCTCTATCCCACATGTTATTGAGTGCCCAAACCATGACCCCAATCTGGGCTTAAAATTAATAAATTGCAGATTATTATGAAGTCCCACCTGGGTACCTTGTCTTAACTTAATACTTACATCGGTGTGCCTCATCTAGGTCTGAACATATAGTTCAAAGAAAACAGAGAGAAAAAACTGAGTAAATAAAACTGAAAAGCTACAGGACTACGTAGTCTCAATAGCATTGGTGTACTCATTTAGTTGCTTGACCTTACCAATGCATGATTATCTATTTATAAATGTAGAATGCCCAAATTGTGAGAAAATATTCAAATGTATGTAATTATTGCGATAAAATCAATCACATTTAATTTAAATCTTCAGCTCTCAATAGGTGTTCAATATCTACAGGATTAAAATCACTTATCTAATTCAAAATGCTCTGTGCTAATCTAGGGCAATATATGTAGATCTGTGGAACGTGTTGTATTGGGTTACGGTGTGGTATTCTTAGTATACCCTGTAATAATTTAAGATATTCATTCATGCAACCTTCAGATAAGGATGTGAAATCTATATTTTTCTTCTGAAACACGTACTTGCTGAAGAAATAAGTAATACTAATTCTTCAAAAGATATACAAGATAGTAAATCCCACAAGCTAATACCCCAAGAAATGGAGGTAGTTAATCAATTAGAGACTTGCAAAGTGGTTGCATTTTTATCAGTGCATATATATTTTTTATTAACATTAGATTTGCAAATTATAGGTTATGTATATTATATGTAGCGTCAATGTAACAAATTATAGGTTATGTATATATACATATGTAACGTCAATGTAACAATTTACATTGAGTATGTCCAAGTATTCACACCACTTAATGAAATAACACAAACAATAAAGGAACACAATCCTGACATATCCTGTTTGTGATTTTCAAGTACAAGGCTTTAATGGTTCATTAGATTACTAGTGCAGAGAGTGTCCGGGATAAATCCAGTGAAAAGGACCTTTTCTAATGTCAATTCAAAAGTATTCTGTGCTGACTGAACTGGAAGTTCTAAAATATATGTAATCTCTTTATGATACACTGGAAAAGTATAAAGACTCCTTATCTGAATAGACAGCTAGATAAACCTTGGGACACTTGTTGTTGACATTCATGTAAGGGTAAAATCCTCGGGCGATCATATTGACATTAGATGTGTACAGCATCAAAGGGATCATGTCCCCTATACAGCTTGTGAACCGTTCCTTGGTGGAAGGAATTACAATGCTGTACTTTTAATACACAGGTTGTGTATTGACTGGTTCGTTGAATTGTGTATTCTGCGTTTTCATTCATGAGGTTTTAGTTTGATATCTACAGCTAATATACACAAAAACCATATAATATCAAGTGGAATGGCAATTCTTTATTTGTTTAATCTGCCTTAAGAAAAACCACTTTAGCTCCTCATAACCCCACCACATAAATAAAGAGGCCAGTAAGGTCTTTTAGAAAAGAAAAGTGTGTATAATTATATTGCGGTAAATGCCATTGAATTTTGATGGAAATATAAGGAATGAAGCACTGTAGATAATGGCAGTATATAAAATGTATTATCTAACAGGTCAAAAGGAATATATCTTTTATTTTTTTGTTGCCATAATTTTCGAAAATTCAATCATAAAGAGATAGGAAATCAATAGATCATAGATTGAAAATACTACTTATGAAGCTTTAATATTTTAAGCCATACACATTTACATTAGTGTGTAAAGGTCTGCAATATGAAACTTCCAAATAAGATTTATGTATATGACTTAAATTGGTGATCAGATGGGGCGTAAAACAATACAGAAATATAATTAAAGTACCATGAATACAGATAATTAACATGTTTTGGTGATGTCATTTTATATAGGACCATGTACTTGTTAGTGTTTTAATTGCAATCTAGATCTGTTCACTGGAGAAAATTTGAACAACTTTATGATGGTAATGATTAATTCTGTAAAATTTAGTTTGATTCTAAATATTCATTTCATGAGACAATTTTTTTTTTCTTCCCATTTTTTAAAAATTGAAATGTCATAGTTTTTTTTATCAAAATACATCTTTACATAACTTACATTACTAGCTATCAAACAGTCAGTATATTTACCGTACCTCATAAAAAACGTTGGCACTGTGTGACTTTCCTATAGGAGGAATTACAATACCGTTCTTAAGACATGGACATATTCCCTTTGTAGGGTCTGTGTGGATATAGATTTCAAATGAGAGCTTTGTTTGTACAAGTTTGATCTTATCACATACATCATTAAGGCAGTTCAATGTTGGTCAGTGAAATAAAAGTTTCTCAGTTTGAAATTTGAGTTTCACCAATTAAGATCGGATATCCTAATGTCTATAGACTATACAAATTCTTCTTTTGAGATAATCT